ATATATATATATATATATATGTTTCAAGTCATAATAAACTTTTAAGCTGAAATTCTTCCGAGAAAAAGGCCCTGTTGTTTGGTTGATAATTGTTCAGTATGACGCCCAGTAGCTATCTGAATTTAAAACAGCTATTTTACTATATGTGGCTATCTACAGTCTATATATCATTGGACGTTTTAAAATTTCTCTGCAACCGCCGGAAGAAACTGTGACAGTCGTAACGAAAACGCACGTGAATAAAAGTATACAGCACTGGGTTGACGGCATTGTTAAAGTAAATGAAATGTGAACACAGTTGCTGCAGGGCCCGCATCCAGTGCCGCCCATCATGGGCAAAGTCAGGTGAAAACATTTCAGCAAACTTTATTACCCAGAAGGGAATCCAGGAAGAAATGAATACTACCATCACAATAAGGAGCATCTTGGCCCCCCTTGGTCCGATGGGTTTTGTCCTCATTTGTGGTACTGCTAACGAGTCAGAACGTATTCGTTTAAAGCACCCGGCCACATTTTTATGTTTCCGCAGTATTGAAGCATTTTTGCCATTGCTCTCATTGTTTCTGGAGCTACTTAGGCTTGTGAGGCTGGGTTCTTTTGTCATGTGCGTGGGCAGCCGCTTGATTTCCTCTAAAGGCTCAATGCAAGAAAACTGCACCATCGAATAAGTCTCGCGATTTTCAGGTTTATATTCCTTGAAAGAATCCTTGCACATTTTGTCTACAGACCACGTGCGTCTTCGCCCCCTATTAATGCACTGAAATCGCGCGCTTGCCGAAGAATTTACGAACGTCACCGATAAGCTCGAGGCGCGAACTCGCGCGTTTTTCCGCTTGGCGTCTTCACTAGACATTTTTACGTGCCCTACAGGTGTTAATGGAGTATGTGAGTCTTGTTGAAAATCAGATAGGCTTGTATTAAGACTGCCGGTCGCTCTTAAAGTTTCACTCGAATGCTCTTGGTGTTTTCTCAGAAGAAAGGGTTGGGAAAATTGCCGAGACCGAGAGCGGGGCTTGTGTTTCTTCATCGGTGATTCTTTTTCTACTACATGACATGAAAATTCGCTGCTAGGTGGGTCATAGTCAAACAGACGTATTTTACTGACAAGTTTTCTGTGTTTCATTACTGTTTTTCCAATGATGATGTATAAAACAGAACTTATTACAAAGCATGTAGTAAACATAACAAATTCAATTCCACCAAAGATGGTCATAATTAATGAACCCTGATAGACGTCACTGTAATCACACAATTCCGCGTAGTATTCCTTTGAATGCACTACCAACAAGACCGTATGGACACCGTAAAACTCGAGTAAAGGCAAGCTGAAGTTCACGCCAAAAACAACGCATGCCGTAATCATTTTACGAGTTCTCCGAAAAGCGTTGGCGAATTTTAGCGGTTTCCGCACTGCGTAGTAGCGGTCAACGCCCACAGAGAGCAACACAGTGCCTTGAACGGCCATGATGACGTGGATGAAATACTCAAAGGTCTTACAGAGCGGTACGTTGGTCTGATGATAGCCCTGGAGGTTCTTGGCTATTATGTATGGATGCAGTACAAGGCAAGCAGTCAGATCCAGTACTCCTAATGTTAACATATAAATATTTGCCGTGGTTCGGTGTTTCTTACAACAAAAAACAACAACTACCAAAAGGTTGCCGACAGTGCCCATTATCATCATTGTAACCATAAACATCACTGTCGGTACCATACAGTATTCACACTTGTACGGAGCGGTGGTTGCGTTGTCCTTTTCAGGAACGGTTAATGTCCAGTTAGCCATTGTAGTGGTTAGATTAAGAATCAGCCCATCAAGGTTTCCGTTCACGAGCACGGCACTCCCCCCAGTGTGCCACGGTGTGGAGGGACGGTCGACAGGCATGCTGTAGGCATTATCTACGCAGGTGATTTTTTCAGTCCGTTGATAACAAATTATTTTTGCTTCAATTTAAGAATGATTGTCAATGTATTGCTTTTCTGCTGCCTTCCAACACCTTTCTGTTAGAGACATAAAATTAAGCGTACCTCCTAACTTGTTCAGTTAAGCCGTATGTGCAAGTACATGAAGACATTGGCAGTCTTGCTTCTGCATAAAAAGTTTACATACAGAATAGGCAGATCATGTACAATCTTACCAAAAACTATCACCCAAACATGTCCCGCGGAGAGATGTGGAGCATGGTTTCGGTGCTGTGCTTCGTGTATATTGGTGTACTCTACTCTTAAGTCCAATGTAAGCCTCTCATTCTTCTGAAGACGCCTCGCATTTAACAAGGTGTATCAGCTGCTACATAAATGACAAAAAGAACTGTCCACATCTCAATATATATGAAATTGCAATAATGTATGGAGCCCACAGCAACTGCAACTCTTACTTTGTTTTCACTACAGAAACACCTACCATATTCTGTATATGCTCTACATCTGAGGGCAGACTAATACCCATCAATCTAAGCCTTGGGCCGTCTTTCTTCAACAAAACAATTGTAGCCATAGTAACAAGCCTCTTTGCTTATCGTTGTATGTTGTGGAGGCCACAGAAGTGAACTTCTGATTTGCGTATTGGAGGCAAATATGATTTATCATTAAGATATTTGTTCAACAGCGAGTTCAACTGCCACAGTGCACGCCACTGTGGCGTTAGTCAGCCTACGTGTTATGAACCTTTTACACATAATATTATGTGACCAATGTCTCTTCTAGAAATTTAGTAAAGTTTACTTCAAGCTTGGGCCCGGAATGGGACATTACTTTTTAACTTACTTAGCACAAAAAAAGCAATCCAAAGATCCAAAGGTTTGTGTTAGACTTCCGCTCGGTAACTCAGAAAAAATTAACATAATAACCAGTGATATGTTGACACTGGGTAATTACATCGTGATGTGAAGTCTCCAACCTCCCGGTTCAAACAACACAGAGTCCAGCCATATACTTCCGGCGGACCTGGTACGTGTATTTTAAAACTGAGGGTCTGGCGGACTCGCTGTCATGAGGGACTTCCTGGTACATGACACCGGAACTCTCGTCAGTCTTCTTGTCATAAGCAAAATAAAAAGCTTGCAGCAATATTGCTGCAAACTTTAAGTTTGCGGCAACGCGTTGACAGGAGTTTTCAAGAAAAAACTTATTGCTGCTAATTTGCAGCAATATTGCAGCAAATTTACAAGAAGGCATTGCAGTTTGCAGTAATATTGCAGCAAATTCGCTGCAAATGCAACAGGGCAGGTTTTTTACCAAGGGTGATTCCTTAAATCTTATCTCCCCTAGCTCTGTTAGGATATCTCTTTTTATAACCAACTTACTAGCCTTAAGTGACGCGGTACATGCATATCTTGAAACTATCGGTCTACATACATCGACTCAACTCATCGGGGACTAAGGCTGAATACAATCCGTTTAACAGATTAACTTGTTTTCAACGTACTCACCAAATTTCTGTATTCTATTCAACGCGTGTTAATCCCCGCGAAGTTGGATCGATCTACATGTAGTAAGTATACCCATGCATAGATTCATTGGGAATGAGCCCTTAATAACTGGAAATTGCAGAGTTTAATACCAGATAATTGCTAATATCTTCATATTGAGTCATTAATGTTATGCATTTGTTTGCGTCTGATGCCGATATCATTTAAAGCATGTTTACAAATTATTCACCAAATACATAATTTTCTGAAATAAGACACCTGATGCTTCAATTTTTTTTTCATAAGCATTAGACAACAGCATTCACCAAATATCAATTTCTTATTCTAAAATTTTTTTAAAACAATTTTTTGCTTTTAGTTTTTGAAAATTACATAAAATATGACTTCTTGTGACCCATTATCAATTTTTGACCCATTATTAATGACCCTTAACTAATTGTCATGTATTTATTACATCAATTGTCCCATTCCTTGCCTTCATAATTATATACTGTATAATACATTGATATACCTTTTATCAATTTGATACAGTAAGCATTTTCTCTACCTTCATCTGAAAACAAGAAACACTTGCTGTTTGTGGGGTGGGATTATTTTTTACATAATTGGGGATCTTAAAACCTAACGGGGATTGACTGATATAAGAATCATCATCATCAGTGCTCTTCGTCCCGTGTGGGATATAAGAATAGATTCATAAAATGACACTATTCTTTGTGTTCTTCTTTACTTTATTTCGACAAAAACCGTGTCCCAACATTTAAACCCCCCAAATCTGGACATCTGAAGCGTGCATAGAGGAAAAGGACGAACTTTTTGTACAGTACATCGTTGGTGATTTTCTCCAGAACTTTAAGAAAGACACCAACTTTAACCGCAGCTACACGAGATAATGGCTTTTGGATTGAATTCCAGATGATACAGCATTGTTTTGGTGGAATTCTGCTGTTCTTTCCAAATCCCCATACTTTTTCGAACATGGTTTTTACTTTTCACTATAAAATAGCAATAATTTACCATATTTGTAATTGAACAGCTGAAGGAACCCAAGCAAATACAAAATCCCCAAATATACTGTAACTTGGAGGTAGAACATGAACTTTTCATATAACACCAATTAGCTTGCTGTTAGTTACATCTTGTCATAGTTTGAACTTTTTGAAATCGTCATCCTTCATTTTTAGCACGAGTGCAAGATTATAGCTCTCACATAAGTTACAATTGTTTTATATATGGTGTTGCACTCCTAGCACATTTTTAACTTTACTGGGCATTTGGTCAGTTTGAAAAGAAGCAAAAATAATAAAACCTGATGAACAGCCTATGTGAAAAAAAATAATTTTTTGCTATCATTGATTAATTGAGGATTTTACAGCTATGCTATGCAGGTGGGGTTAAATGATGTTAAATGATGACATTTAAGGACTTTTTACAAATTTATAATAGTTCATTCAGAATAATCCATTATTTTTGACATTACAAGCGAGTAACACGTATGTAGTTGTATGACACAAGCTGAAGTATCCGCCTGTCTTGATACCAGTATAAGTTTCACATCGACAGCTATCACGTTGCTCATTTACATAAACAGACGATAGTAAGTCGGTGCAAATAATTTTTATCTTTATTTGATCTGCTTCTCGAGAATTAATGAAAGCTATTTTAAATAATTTTGCAGACAAACGTGCATTACTTCAAGGAAAATAACCATGTTTCTTGTCGGTTTGACGGGTGGAATCGCCACAGGTAAAAGTACGGTCTCCAAGATGTTTGCCGACCTTGGTATTCCTGTTATTGATGCTGACAAGTTATCTAGACAAGGTAATAACATTTTCAAGTATCAGGTTATTAAAGTCATACAAAAAAAACTTAAGTAAGTTCGCACCCTAATTCCGCAGGATCATGCGACGTTCGTTTTCTTTTTATGCATAGACACCAATGTATCTGTGCATGTGTATATAGTCGGGTTACATCCCTGTTCTGGTACATGATGTACCGTACGTCCCCGCACCAGTACTCCCTGGCACCAATACTCCCCACATCAGTACTACCCGCCACCAATACTCCCCGAACCTGTGCTCCCGTTCACCCCCACATTGTTTCTCCCCCAAAGCACGGATTCCTTTGGCTTTGGTCAAAAGTGCCACACCCATACATGTAACTCTCAGAAGCTACTCAGTAGGCATCTAGCAGAAGACTTCTGACTCCCACTTCAGGTAAGCAATCCCACTGAATCATGTGTTAAGTTGCTCATCAGTACAATAAAACCTTTCTTTTTCCAAAGTGCACCACCCTTGGGACCCAAAAGTGACATTTTATTCAAAATATTGTGGAAAAATAAGGAAACAAAAACAAACATTTGTCTGCTTTGTAACTTTGAACACAGTTGATCATGGGCTTCTGCAGAACATTTTCCGGGGGGGGGGGGGGTCAAAGTCATTGAAGGGGTAGGTAATGATTGGGTGGATACCCGCAATTGATGTGCCTGCCAAAATTCCAGGGGGGTCAAGTGACCCCACTGACCCCCCCCCCCCCCCCCCCAAGGATGCCCATGTAGTTCATCCTTCACATCAGACTTGGCTTTTTGATTTTTGAGAAATGTTTGTATATTTCAATTCATTCTTCAACACTGGTAACATTGCACAGATAACACACTCTTTATTTATGTATCTGTTTTACTCAAAGTTTGTTTTAAACTAAGATAAATAACACACCATTGTCTTTTCTTCATGCACTGCATAATCCATTGAATTATTAAGAAGTGAAAAAGTGGTGTTTAAGCAATAAATTGTTGTGATTGTCTTCACGAAAATGTGAGGTTTTACAATTTACACTGTCTTTGGGGGGTTTCTAGGAACCACTAAACAAATAAATTGCACTGTAATTATGGTTTTTATAACAGTTATAATTAAGGTAATTATGGGTTTTCTTTTAGATTTTAGATTTTATAAAAAAAATCTAGAATGAGAAATAAATAACAGCCTAAACGTAACATCATAAATCCTTCAATAGGGTGGAATAGATAACAAATCTGATGGTGTGTACTGCCAGCTTGCGACGAGATTGTTATAAAGAACCCAGTAATGAACAGCAGTAATCCTTTGTTTTGCATCACCATGATGTAACACCCAGCCAAGTTTAGCAAGTCAAAAGAAAGGGTATTATTATGGACCTATTGTTGATAAAGAGTTGGGCCATGTTTGAAAACGGTATTAAAACTAATAATAAAGATCACTGGCGCAGGCAGAGCACCTTTATATTTATGTAGATATGATGAATGTTTTTGAGGCCCTAGAAAATTCAGGCTACATACAGGGGATCTTTGTAGCCTTAGGCTAAACAAAATGTATAAGTTGGTTAACAAGCAGCAACTGTAAATGAATATGGTTGGTAGACTAATTTCATTTTTTTTTTAATTCCAAATATGGTTAATGAGCATAGCAACTAATTCTATTACCTTTTGTGCATAATAAAAAATTTGTTAAGCATTACTTAATATTGCATGAAAATTGACAAAAATCCTATTTTGTGCACTGCCACCATAGGCAGTATAATGGAAACTGTATTACTTAATTTGCTCATACTTGCAAGAGTGATTCTTAGGACTTAAATACAGCTTAAGTTGGAAAAACAGCCTGGTTAATTTCTTTTTCTTGAAGTAATACATTTTTAATGTTCATTTTTAAGATTCATGTATTGAGATTTTCAGTGAGTGAATTTGAACTCTCATGAGCCTGATGGGCCTATGAAGTTAATGATAATGTTACCTGTTGTGAAATTTGTTTTTTATTTTGCTGTTAAAAATTGTTGTTGATTTGTGCTCAGCATCATGTTAAATTGCATCAAAATTGACTAAATAACCTAATATATCTGTGCATTGAACATCTGTGGTACTTGTTAACACAAAAAAGGTTCTAGATTAACCTGAAGGGCATTTCACATCTGATTTGAATTTAAATTTCTCATTTCTCTTAGCACCTTTATAGCCGAGATATTCCACCATTTCTGGCAAAATTTTCCTCAATTCAAAAGGCTTCAGGTTTGTCTGTCTAGTTGCAGGCTGATTGAACCTGGGCTGTGAGAATAAGCATGTAACTTAGTATTTTCAAGTTTTGTATATATGTATAATATACACAGATGCCAAATCCAAAGGGTGAGGCATAATAGTATATTATTTTTTATTTATATTTACATATAGTGGTCAGACCAGGAACACTTGGTGCCAAAAAAATATGCAAACAGTTTGGCTTGGAAGTTTTCCATCCAAATGGGCAGCTCAACAGAGATTTACTTGGACAAATTGTATTTTCAGGTATACTATAATTTACTAGTACTCGAAAAAATTACACAGATACATCATTATAGCTGAAGTAATGATTTTGAAGCAAGATTATTGGTGATGATATATATCATTAGTTCAGGGCATTCACTGTAGAATTAAAGGGAAGCTAGAAGATAGCAGGTGACTTGTCACCCTTTACTACTAGATTGTTAAAAATTTTATTAAGTATAAAGAAACTTATTTCAACTTTTAGAAGGCAGATAGAGGTTTCAAATAACTTTTTATCTTTCAACTGTTTCTTGTTTTAATTGTAATTTGTAATTTAAAAAATATTTACACCTTAAAGCTTTATGTGATTTTATAATTTACCTTCAAGAGCTCTGACAGAAACCAGTGTCCAATATATGTGACATGTATGTTGAATATATATTAGCTGAATAGACCATTATTATCACTTTTTGTTACATGTATTGATAAAAATGTATTATTTCATTATATCTTCTATCTGTTTTAGGGAGCATTCACATTGAGAAGAGCCGAGGTCTAGTAAGGCCACGACCTAAATATGGCAGACCTACATGAAAGGAAGACTGCTAATCCTGTAATGGTCTCTCGTCTCTCACACGCCTCCGCACACGTTGACCCTGGACTGGTTGAATTGAGCCGAGATTTAATTACTGTGCCCCTGCAAAGATGACTCGTGGGGATGATTAACAGGATTAGCGATCTTCCTTTCATGTAGGTCCGCCATATTTAGGTCACGGCCTAACTAGACCTCAGCTCTTCTTGCTGTGAATTCTCCCTTAGTTTTTAAGAAGAAAATACACCTTTCAGATGCACATAAGAGAAAGATACTGAACTCTATAGTACATCCAGAGGTCTACAAGGCAACTGTATGGGCCATTGTGAAATACTTCTTCCAAGGTACACTTGTGAGTGAAATTTGGAGTTTAAATCATTAATGCTGCAAAGTAATAAAGTTAATTCAACCATTGTATCATTTCATACTTTATAAATATTGACTTTGGGTGTGGTCACCTCAGGCATTTATTGACCCTAAGCTGGGATAATTGGCCGATGCTGAATTAATTCCCTAAGTGTAACTGTAAAAGACAGACATGTATCTTTTGAAAAAATAAATAAGAGCCTTTTATGTACAGACACAGATGTGTCTTTACGTATAGCCATCACCTGTGTCTGTCGTCGCTGTCGCCGTCATTGCCGTCGCCATGCACTTTCACTGATAACACAATAAATAGAAAACCATTTTACCTTTTGGCATTAAACTTACAGAATTGATGAATATTCATAATATGCAGGTTGAGTTCGAAAAGCAGCATGATTGGGCCATAACTTCAAAAGTTATGCTGTTTTTATTTTTATTTTTTATTTTATTTTATTTTTTATTTGCTTTTTATGTACAGACACAGATGTGTCTGTACATATAGCCGTCATCTGCGTCTGTCGTCGCCGTCGCCGTCGTCGCCGTGCACTTTTACTGATAACACGATAAGTGGAAAACTGTTTTTTCTTTTGGCTTGAAACTTACAGAACTGATGAATATTTGTAATACGCAGGTCAAGTTCGAAAATCAGCATGATCGGGTCACTAATAGGGAATTTATTCTGTTTATTCACTTTTTTCAGCATATATGCAGCACCGATAACAAGATAAGTGGAAAACAGTTTTACCTTTTGGCTTGAAACGTACAGAACTGATGAATATTCATAATACGCAGGTCAAGTTCGAAAATCAGCATTATTGGGTCACTTATAGGGAATTTATGCTGTTTTTTCACTTTTTTCAGCATATNAGAAAAACTACGACAAGTAGAACCAACGTAAATGCACTGTTGGTTACAGGTTGGGAAATTGTTGGACTAATGTTGGTTATTAGTTGGCCCAATGTAGGGCCAACGCAGTTTGGTTGGGTAATTGTTGGACTGATGTTGGTTATTAGTAGAACCAACGTAAATACACTGTTGGTTACAGGTTGGGTAATTGTTGGACCCATGTTGGTTATTAGTTGGCCCAATGTAGGGCCAACGCAGTTTGGTTGGGAATACGTTGGCAATGCGTTGGCATTAAAAAGACGTTCAGCCAACCGTTGGCCAAAGTGAGCACTTAGATGGAAACCCAACGTTGGGCCAACGTTGCACGGTCAACCAAGGCAACGTTGGGCCAACGTTGGCCCAACGTATGCATGCTATCTGGGATGATCGGGCCACTGTTTTAGAAGTTATGCTTTATTTTCACTTTTCAGCATATATGCAACACTGTAAACACATTTCAAGGAAAACCGATAGGCCTGTTGTCATAAAACTCACAGGAATGGTCAAACTTGCTAAAACGCAGGTTGAGTTTGAAAATCAGCATAATTGGGCCATTATTTTAGAAGTTATGCTGTTTTTTCACATTTCCTCAGATTCAATTCTTAGGCATGTTAACAGTTTCATTATTTAATTTATAAGATACGTAAAAGTGTTTGTTTGACATTTCCTGCATCTTTACAACATTGTTAGTTGATTTTGTAAAAATGATGGTAAACTTGTTATCGTGCATTGTGTAATAAAGTTTCAAAAATGGAAATAAACTCATATCATTGCAGTTTGTCAGTTACATGTTGAATTTGATGTCAGAATTAACAGTAGCCTATTTTGTGCATAGTTATTTCCTGCTTTTTGTCTGTACATTTGACAGCTTTGCTGCCTTGTTCTTAGTTTTCTACAGACAAGCTCAGATGCTGTATGTTGATACAGAAGAACAAACAAGCTACAAAAAATCTCAAATATTTTAAAATAAATACCAAGACTTTTTTATTTCTAAATAAAGGGCAAGATGTCAAGTTAAACCTGCTTTGTGTACCAGTTCGTCAACAATGACAATACTTGACAGTTGTCTTTTAATTTTGATTGCACTCTTCGTGGAATTAAAGATTGGAACATGGCATTCCTTTCTCACGAGATATTAGGTATTATCAACAGTAGCTCCTTTGATTCATGAAATGTTTGGTATTGTGAATAGGGCTGATGGCAAACTAGTACATTGAACATAAGCACAAAACAAAGCAAATACTATAAGTAAAACTTTTTTCATTCCAATCCAACTTTTGCTTCAGCTTATAATATTCTGGTGAAAAATATACCTTATCACATTATCTTCTATTAATTTATTCTGCTCCACTCTTTGAATAAGTCAACTTTTTTGTTCCAGGTTTTCACAGTCTCAATATAAATATGCTGCACTATATGAAATAAGGTTCAAATATCATTTAAAGAGTTTAAATTTTTTAAAATAAGTTTGTATCTCTTCTTTATGGTATGGTTTTGTGGCAATGCATGTTGGTATATTTTCTGGCTGTTCTATCCAAAGATGAAAGTCTTTATTGTCTGAGGTCAGTGACTCTGAAACTTTGGTCAAGCTTTCTTCATCTTTAGCCTGAAAAGAAAAAAAGAAATTAAATATGAATCTTGCTTGCATTATAATTTCAGAATGTTTGCTTATATTCTAGTATCACAAATCTATAAATGGCGTGTATGCAAAATTTGTGTACAATTATGAATACTAAAATAATAACTAAGAACTAAGTAACAGTTAAATGAAGATATATACTAATTATTCAAAGACAAACCTTTTTTCTCACTTGGAAATTAGCTAGACTGTTTATAAGAGGAACTGTGCGAAGAAGAAAAAAAAAAAAAAAAAACTACCGAGTCCCTGACCATAAAATGCAAGTTTAAGAATAATTATCTAAGTGGATGTCTTGATTCATCTTCTTATTTTATGCTTATAATGAGAAAAAATATCTACTACTGGATATTACAGATACGTTGAAAGAGATCACGAAACAATAAATATTTCCCACCTCCAAAACGACTTTATGCATCCGCGTATAATCTTCAGTATATGATTTAACATTAGGATCTTCTCTAAATAGGTGCATGACGGCAGTACACGCATGGCACGCTTGAGCAATTAACGCCCCTGTTGGCCACTTCAAGTCGCTTCTAATCAGGACATATTGAACAAGAACTGGTGCACTTTTAGACATGTTGGACCTGCTGCATCGGTTGCTAGCTTTTTCCCGTTTTCCCAAGTTGGTGACGTCACTGCGCGAGGACAACAAGGTCGATTTAGAGTACGGAGGATTCATTTAGAAAGATGAGTTAGGATATCTAAGGTTTTCGATTTAGCGTAGTATATCTCACCTGTAGCGATAGCTGGCATAGTAAAGAAAGTTTGCATGGGGTAAACTAAAAGAAGAATTCTCACCTGGAAGCTACCATATTGTTTAAGGAGTTAAGTTCCTGGTCACAGGGCCAAATTCTTCAAAGGAAACATCAAGATAGTTATCAATATTATGCCGAAGTCTAGCACTGACTAGCTTATTACAATGAATTATCTCACACATTTGCGGAAGAGGATTTCTAGAAGTGTTGGAATTCGTCTGCTGCAGTTGAACCAACAACCCCTGTTGTTACTTTGTTTGTTGTTCGCAGGTCTGGCAGGTGAGTAATCAAACGTTGCGTGTAAGTGACTTTGTCGGTAAACCTCATATTTCTGTTTTTAATTCTACCTAACTTGTACAACCACAGCTGTACAATGTGCATACACTGAGTGTTACACAGTGGTATATGCTGAAGGTTACCTCAGTTTGATGCGCTTTTTTTTTTTTACAAGTTTTAGCCTGATTCATATCTTGAATTCTACTTGTTATAAATTAATTGAGTCATATAAGTGAAATATTAAATAGGTAATTAAAAGTTCCAAGTTGATTATAAGTGGGTTATTGCTGAATTTTCATAATTATAATGATAATAATATATTTATCACAAGTCTTAATTCCAAATCTGTTCAGGAGACTTTGCAATACGTTCAGTTATGTGCAGTACATATATATGTATGTCTATACATTAACAGGTTGACACCTGGTCATTAGATTCTGTGTTGACAATCTCACCTCCCTGGAGAGGATACAGGGGATCATGTGTCCAGTCACAGACTTTTAAGCACATGATATTTCTATTATAGTGAATGATTTTCTGTAACAATTGAAGTGTAACTTGACTTAAAACTTATTTATTCATTATTCAGAAAATAAAGACTTTGGGTTATTTATATTTGGATTATAGGAAATGATATGCTTAATGTCATCAGAAAACTGTTTACAAAAGGCAGACTTTTATACATACCTAACTATCTTCATTTTGGTTATATGTGGTAAAGCACTGTCACTGTTTATGTCCTTTATTTGTAGTCTGCAAAGCCAATCTCTGTGAAGATGTCAACGAGGAGCAGCTGGAAAAAGCCATGAACTTCAGATCCTTGCCTAAAGGAGGCGCCAGCGCAGGGTACTACTCCAAAAACACAGAGGCGAAAGATTTAAAAGGATGCGTGTTAAGCTGCTGTCGCAAACCAACTTGTAATGTTGTGTTTTTACACAAGAAGACATGTTTCCTTATTGAGTGCAATGCAACAGTCCCAGATGCTTGTGATCCTATGACGACGGATACGCCAGAGTTTGAGTCAAGTTTGATGATACAGTTGCGGTCTGTAGGTGAGTAAAGTTGGCTGTTTTAATATCTTCTCCCTAGATGGCACTGAGGTAGCACTAGCAATTTTTTCTCTGAGCCAAACCAACTCTTTTTTTTGTTGTTGTTGTTGTTGCTTTGTTATCCAAATTAGACTAAAACAAGCCAAATCAAACAAATTTGTTTAGCCATTTCAAGTTAGCATTTGGTTAAATTGGCGATTGTTAGTGCCGACCCAGTGGCATATATGATGTGAGCCCAATGGGTAATGGATTATGGCTGTCCGTAAAGGTAGCTCTGTTATGTCATAGCCATGCTGATAAGTTTTCAATCTCTCAAACTGTAGTGATATACAGAAAACTGAACCATTATGTGAAAAAGGCCTAACTTTGTTACCTCGGGCCTTCTCCTTAGAAGCAGCAGAGATTTAAGAGTACACTTTTGGCATATTCTTACTCATAGTTTCTATTTTAGGCTGCCTGATTTGTGTGCTGATTGGATTGCTTTGATAAATGTGGTGTTCTTCACAAATCAGCATAATGGATCTCTTTATTTCTACTATTTGAGCGTGTATCTATCTCTCTTAGAAAGCCTGATTGTGGGGTCAAATTGGTTTGTTATCATAGGTGTGGTGTCTCTCACAAGATGTTATGGAACTAGTTCATTGATTATTAAAAGTGTAAAGCCCATTTCACAATTGAATGTTATTTATATATTTACAGTGCTAGTACCTGCATTGCAATTGTTTTGAGAGATTGGCAACTAAATTTTGTAGCCTGGTCATTACTCAGGTTACTAGTACTAGTAAGAGAGTCACTAAATGAATCCACCCAATATTTTTCCATAAATATAGCTTTATATCCTGTTAGGACAAGTCAGAATGCTGAGTACTAATCCGATAAATTCACTGCATAATGTAAAAAAAAAAAAAAAAGAATATTGAAGGGGGAGGCAAATCTGACTTGCAACTGATTTTTTTTTTCTCAGCATGAACTGAGCAACATGTTAAACACATACTGCTATCTGTTCAATAAATCGTTTCCATAAAGCAATTCCCAGCCTCTGAATTGCCAGACAACGCAAATGTCAGGCACTGCAATTGCTGGCCAGGGAATTTGCTTTTTATAACAGCTTGGGAGGTGCAGCATCAAACAGTGAATGTGTACCAGTATCTGTGTAGTGATCGCAACATTGAACAGTGAATATGTACATGTAGTTGTATAGTGATGGCAGTATCAACCACTCAGTAAATACTAGTATATGTACCAGTATAGAGATCACAGCATTGAACAGTAAATATGTACTAGTGCTAGTAACTGTATAGTGCTCACTGAAATATAAGATCTTTTATTCTTTTGGTATCCGATTTCAAACAAGTTTGTACATAATACCGATTTCAAACAAGTATGTGAGGTACAAGTGTATATCACTACCTACTTGTAGGTATTTACTTTTGTATTGTGGCTTACAAGTCACAGCATTGAGCAATATCAATGCATTGAAGGGAAACAGTTTTTTTCTCAAATGCAGTTTGTCATACTAGACACACTGTTCCCAGAGAGCCATCCAGCTGTCATTGGGCTGTAAATTAGCTTCCAAAGACAACAGGACAGCTTACAATACATATTTTTTGGGGGGGTTTGTTGGTTGGGCTTGCTTGGATTGGATTCTCTCTGAATCACACTTTCACATCTTGGACTTTCTGTACCCCAAATCCTGGAGAAACCCCTACCTACTAATAAAATAGATGATCTAAAATAGAATGTAAATTCCTGTCCAGACATTTGCGTTTTGTGATTTAATGGGAGTTTCAGCGTAGAACCCATCAGAACTATGAAAATATCGATGCTATCCAAATAAAAGTCCACTTAGACTCGTTAATGTTTTAGCTGTTGTTTTAGATTAATTTTGCATTATCTATATAGATTTTACCTTCACGTTAGTTAAATTTTGATATGGTTTAAGTGAGTTGTAGTTCTGGTGTTGATAGTGACAAGTGAACTGAAAAGTTTGAGCAGTAAGAAAGGGGAGGTAATTAAGGCCTAGATGGTTGTTTTTTTGTAAGCTCAGGGGAGCCGCAGTATTGAGCTATGGAGATAATAATAGGTACTAATAAAGGACCTGATACTGTGAAATTATTCATTGGGTGAAGTATGTCTTTATCACTCACTAAAATGGAGCAAAGTTATTATCCAAAAGTGAAAACCAATTTTTGGTTTATGTTTTATTTTTGTGAAATGTGTTCATTTTTATGTAATTTTTTTAGTAATTTTATTAATGGGATTTCAATTAAATGCCCACTCCCCTTTAAAAATGGAAACTTCCGCTTTCTCAGCCAGGGGTTAATTATATTATTTCCCAATGACCATCAAATTTTATTACTCTTAGTAGTTTGCCGAGTGATCTCCAAACACACAGTAGAGTTTGATGGGTGACTATCAGATTATATTGGATTTTTTCCCTCTATAGAGGAAAGCATTAAACAGTCCACAAAGCACTGTAATTGTATATTGTGTAACCAAATTAACTTCTGAGTAAAATCAATGATGTCTACAATGATAAATGTAAAACTCAGGCAAGGAGAAGGTAAAACATTTTACCTGAGGATGAATATGGAACTTGAGCCAGTGTACAACAAAGGGCTCGTTCACAATAAAACTGTTGTTTTACACAGATCGATCCAACTCTGTGGGGACTCTTGTTGAATGCAATCAGGGCTCCATAACTTGAAAGCACCACGAATTGCCAACGAGCATATGCGCCTCTATTCCATAACTCAGCAATTATTCGCCCCATATAATAGCCTCGAAATGAAAGGTGATATCGCTATTGCAAGTCATAATGTATTTGAGTTACAGAGCCCAGATTCACAGCTTTACACGCCTCCCCCTGTTGTGAGTAGAATGCAGACAAGGTGGTGGTTATATGAGTGTGCTGGAAACGAGCTGTGTTAATCTGATTGCATTCAGCTAGCACCCCCACAGAGTTGGATTGATCGAGATGTAGAGCGATGGTTTCATTGGGAATCAGCCCTAAGTTTGCTTTAAGAGAACAGTACTAGTACATTACAATGCTTTTTCCTGGGTAATCGATTACCAACTTAGATAATCTAAAAGGATTTACACTTGATGTTGGAGAGAGCATATTTCAGAACAAAAGAGGGTTTGTGCTATGTTGTATACAAAAAGTCGAAGATGAGAAACACTTCCTCGTGGAATGACCCAGGGGTGGATCCAGAGATATTTTCTGTCAGTCTTCCAAATTATCTTTGTTGATCCATTCTCTATTTTGACCATCTTCTAACAGAAAAAAAAATTAGATACCCCTAAATAAATTTGAAAAATTATGACCATCTTCTGCCTGTGACCTGCATGTCACATTACCAAAGAAACAATGATAAACTCTTCTACATCACTCTGGCAGACAGTGTTGGTGAATTTTCTCTCCAGGACCTACTGATTTGTCCTCTGAGATCGCTGTAAAATAGGGGCTCTAAATCAGTAGGCAGGATCACACAAACTGCCACACAGAGGGAAGTCACTCCTCACCAATGATAAAAGTATGCTTTAATTACATACCCAATTTATTAGGTATTAAGTTTTTTTAATCAACATTGTAGATAAACAGTAATTATCCTTCCTTAGGAACTAGAGCTGACACTGCCATCCAGTTGCTTCTCATAAAACAGTCTAAAGATTGTGATCTGTGTGCATTTTATTGATAGTGACAAATGCAGCAATTGGGCAGGATGAGTCTTATCTGTTGAAGTTATTTGACACCCAACCATTGAGATTATTTAATTCAATTTTTGTCCAAATCTTCTTGTATTTGTAGACTTCCAATGTCTGCCAATAGTTAATAATGGGAATTGCCATATTTTATGTCTGAAGTATAGAACCGTGATGTTTTATATTGTCTCATATTATACCTAAAAATAATTTAACCTTCCCATACATGTTATTAATGATTTATATACCTGTGTAAATACCTGTGCAGTCTTCGTCTTTTTGTTTCTTATTTGACTGATAATCACAGTGTACGCACTAAATGCAGGAGATAAGATTGCTGCGTTTTCCCGATTTTATCATATCTTACCTCTTTATCAGGTGAATTATGGGGTGTTTCCAGTCAACATGGGTGGACCTTACTTAGTACAAAAGATTCTAAGATATTTGATTGCAGTGTGCCTGTGTGTGTGTGTGTGTGTGTGTGTGTGTTTGTGTGTGTATGTGCGACTGTATGTTAATGATTATGCGTATATGTATATGGCTGTAATAGTATGACTATATGTGTATGTTTGTTTATTTGTGCATGTGTGTGTGTGTGTGTGTATGTGTGTGTGTGTGTGCAAACTAGGAAGTGCTTGTCAGTCGACGAGAAATGGCAAATATTGTCACAACAGATATCTTCATCCTTAGAATATTGCAAACTTAATTAATCCATCCTAAATTCATTTTGATTTGATTTAATTTGAGTTGACATGACGTTATTACCAATTTGGTTTTATTTTGTGTACTGCAGATGTGTGGGTGCACTACGTCATGCTGGGAGATATTTTTTATAAACGTAATATAAGTCAATAGCAGATCTAACATATCTGGAATGGGAAGACGATGGCTATTAAATGCTTTCACAAGGAAATTATCTGCTATTTGTCTTAATCAAGGTGTTTAAGAGAAAGTGGATGAAATGCTGTTGAAATGAATGTCAGGAGAAAGTTTTATAACGCTTGGGGGGGGGGATATAAAAGTAGAAATTCTGAGAGTTATATTAACAGTAGCAACATGACGACAAGTAATTACAGTTGGTGTCAAACTATGAATAAAGAACGGTTTTTCAAAGCCACTTGTCTACAGGTTTGGACAAATGTAAATTTCTGACAGTGTTTTTAACTACAGACTAGAAGTACAGAAAGTCTTTTGAATAAATACAATTCTTTTCGTTTCCCTTAACACTTTCAAACCCGTGTTGTGTCATTGTGGTACATTTTCATGACAACATGACATTAAGGAGTGTGTTATCCACAGTTCATCTCTACTCAGCAGTCTGTGGTCTGTGTTATTTATTTTGGATAGGTCATCTGTCACCCCTTGTTTACTTCATGTTGACTTCTTTTACATAGAGTTAGGGACCATTCCCACAGATATTTGGATCCATCTGACAGACATTTAAGCTGGTTAAGTTGATAGCAATATAGTGAGACTCCCCAGGGAGTAAGACCGATCCAGGTGGATCAATGTATGCATGGGAACCCAGTCTCACACTTGGTTTAGATGAAAGGGCGTCTGACAAAATGAATTTTGTTAGTTACTTTCAACTCTTGCTCCCTCTGCTTCTTCTTCTTCTTCTTCTCTCTCTCTCTCTCTCTCAATCATGCATATGATATCTTACACAGTCGATAGCTCTCTTTCTCTCTCTTTGTATATATATATATATAATACCTGTAAATCATGCTAAGCACATAGTCTGCCACTTTTATAGGTAGCAGCTGTCTTGTTTACATCTGAATTATCTAATTGTATGCACTTAAAATGATTGAATATCAAACGTGTGTCATGCAACTCTGTGTATTATATATATATATATATATATATATATATGATAAGGAATTGCTACTAAGGATTTAGCCAGGATTTTGAAACAGGTGCACTGAAGTACATTTTCTAACAGAGACATGTCATCTAGGCTTCATATGCTTCAATAATAAAAATAAAGAATAAAATAATAAAAATAAAGGGTGTCAGAATTATGATAGGGAGTCCTAAAGATTGTTCCGTAGTTGCCTGGCTAATTTAAGGCCCTGATAATAAGGCTGAGTAAGACCAGAGCTGGCACATCTGGGAACCTTCTCTGTTTGGTCATACTGAGGAAAATGTTATATATCATTGTCTAGGTGTTACATTATAACCCCATTCCCATAGATTTTAGATCGATCTATCCCTGTGGGGAGTCTCACTAGATTACTATCAGCTTAGCCGGCTTAAGCATTTGTCCCGCTCACTGAAAGCTGTAAGGGGGTAATTAACTATGGTGTGCGCTCGACTGACTGCAACTTAGTGTGAATCCCAGGGAGTTAGGTCGATCTAAATCTTAATCCCTGGATCGATCTAAATCTTTGGAAATACACCCTATGACACCCCCACCTCACACCACCTCAAAGAAAACCATGTGAAGGCTAAGTTATTGTCTGAAAAACTACTATGTGTACGTACTGTACTGTAAATCTCGAGACAGTTTTTTAAATCAGAGTCACTGTTATTATTGAATAATTGTTATCCCCTCTCTCTTTCTTCCATCTCACCCCTGTGTGCAAGTAATATTACTACTAGTATGTTATAATAACATGTGAATGTATTTTTTTTACAGATGAAACAAGTAAAGTAAAGGAAGAAGCAACCCCCAGCACTACCCCATCTGACCAATCACAAAGTGAGCAAACAACATCAGCTGACACTATCAGCCAATCAAATCCACAGTCAACTATAAGCCAATCAGGTGACAACAGTTCAGAATTAACTGACCAATCAGGAGAAGGGAAAAGGCGGAAAGATCTGTCTTGTATTTTTGGGATTGACGAGTGTGAAAAGAATGAGGAGTGTGTATTAAAAAATGGCCGTGCACGTCTCGGGAAGTGTAATTGTAAAGATGGCTTTTCTAGGGATGAGGCGACCCAATTCTGTGAAATTGGTACATCAGGTACAGATGGGTCTTATTTTATTTCCATTTGATGCTTTTGGTTTGGTGCTCTTTAATTTGAATCTTACTAAACATTTCTGATCCCGAGTAGAATCTTAGGCATGCACTGATAACATTAGGGTGCTTTAGATCTTAGGATTTTTTTATGTCATGGTGGCTGGTTGTTTAACTCTCACTTGCGACCAAGTCACATGTTTATTTTTGGACACATTCTGTTTTTGGTTGTCTCAAATTTTTTTTTTTTCCTTTGCAAAATGATGTCATGAGGTTGTGGTTTAGCACAAGGGGTCAAGGGATATCACAAGCGTTTGTCAGGAGTTTGAGATTTGGAGTCCATATTTTCTTATTTAGGCTGTCTAGGCTCCATATGATCCAATGATAAGTTGTGAAAAAAATGGCACTTGCAAGTTGTGAAAAAAATGGCACTTGCCTGGCAAATAACCCAGATGATATTCACATTGCTTTTACTTTTTTTCTTTGCAGAAAGATGACACACTAATTTTTCTATTTGTCTAATGCTTGGGTTGTCACATTTATCTAATTCTTGGTTTTGGTTGTTTGGTGAAGATTCCACCATCTGCTGCTTTCCGTGTAGATGTAGTATAATAGTAGTGGAGGGGATTTGTCTCAACTACCACAATGGGCTGGTTTTACACTAACATCTCTAGCAGTAGGAGGTTCTCCATCTTTTTAGAACTAACACAATGGCACATGTATACATTTCTGGGCACAACATTTAGTGTGTTTTGCTTATAGATAGAATTTTAGTTTGGGTCTCCTAATACATCAAGTTCTATATTAATTCAATAGAAATAAGAAGATAATGTAATTTGATATTCAGAATATTTTACTATTTGAATTGTTAAAACAACTTTTGCTTGAAACAAATGATTTTGGAAATTTTTTGAATATTGAATTATCACATTGTGAAATGTTATTGTATTTTGCCCATTAAATTTGAGATGTTAAAGACATTATGGAGTAATACAATATGACATTTCTTTGTGTTAATCATAAAACATAATCAGAATTGATATCCTCCCTGAAAATATAAAAGGATAAAAAGAATTTTTTTTTTCTGGAATGAAAATTACGAGTTAAAATATATAAAAAAATATTATCTAATCTGTTTCAGGTTCTACAGAACCTACTCCTACAAGTTCTGACACAGGAAGTAGCAACTCGGAACCATCTTCATCGACATTATCAGTGAGTAGATTTGATATCGTGGTGATAACCACTTGACTTAATGAGCAGGAAGACCCCATCAATTAACCTAGCCTTCACTGGGATATTGGTCATTAGGTCGTTAGGAAAGCTAGAATTAATATCGACATCGAGTGGGTGTTTGGATAATTTGTGTCTATTGTGTAGGATATTGGTGTCCGGTTACCTTTGGATATTTTTTTACCTGAGTGTTTATTGGAAAGATATTTTTATTCCTTGGCGGATGATGAGAACAAAAGACGCAGATGTGGTGAATCTAGCAGACATGAGTGTGTCTGAGTCCATTGTTCATGATATCCATTGTGTTATAAATTATATACTTAGGGTGTTCATCAGCAAGGTGAATGCTGTGTTTACTTGTCAGTGTACTTCACACTGTGGTGTATTTATTACAAAAAAAAAAAAATTAGATTTGCAGTAGTTCTTTAAGAGTCAAATTAATAATTAATCTTGTACTAAAAGAACCAGTTAAGAAGAGAATTTGATGTATTAAACCATGTTTAAAGATTGCACATATGATTCTATGAATTATTAAAAAAACAAAAAAACAAATGGCATTCAAAAATTCATCGCAAATTTTTCTTTGTCTTAAAAGCTAATTAGAGACAACAACTTAAAATGATAGAAATGTTTAATTGTGCAAGAATATAAGTACTTTCTATGCTCTAAAACAATGTGATTATGTTAGGCTTTAATATGTTTGACCTTTCATCTGCTTAAATTGGACATTTATGTCAGGATGTCTAGATGATGTCCTTGTGGCTGTATGGCAAAATTTTTATGTTTATTTCAGACTGGTCAAATTGACCCAGCATTATTGCACGGAAATTGTGTTTTAATTTTTTCCAATTGCTTGACAGTTAGAATAAAGTTGACCCCTATATATCTGCTGTGGAGTGGGTAATTTTTTTTTTTTTTTTTTTTTTTTTTTTTTTTTTTTTTGGCTCAGTTGCCGTAAAATGCTTTTTGTCACCTTTTGTATTTTTGTTTATTTTGTGTAATTATAGACAAGGTTCAAGTAACAAATATTTTAAAAATAGTAATTAAAGCTTAAAGAAATATCAAATGTATATCTGACACTGTCTACAATTTGGCATTAATTTGATATGAAAATGTAAATTGACTATGTACACAAGTTAAGTATACTGTATATACTTGAATAGCATCCATGACATCTGCCAAATTATTGTTGCTGCCTCATAACAGGCATTAAAGATACTGAAACAATTAGCTGCTGAAATTAATCATTTACCTCCCTACCCAACCCCCCCCCCCAAAAAAAAAAAAAAAGAAAAAGAAAAAAAAAAAATTCTGAAATTTACATTTAATTTCACTGACTTTTATTTACAAAATCTGAAGGCTGTATCCATCATTGCCCTTACCACAAGACTTAGGGATGTTTATATATAATCTTGCATAATTTATTGAAATAGATGCTATTTAAGATAAAAGGAAGGCTGTAGAATACCAGCATCCTGAAGTGAATTCAGAACCATTTACTCTTAAACCATTTTTACATTAAGGAGCCCTTCAGATGAGTTAGTGCGTATAATACGATCAATTTAACAAGACTAACATGCCTCCTCCTGGCATTGAGTAGAATACAGAGAATGTGGTGATTATACAGGTAAGATGGAAATAAGAGGAGGTGTGTAAGTCTGTTAATCTGAGAGTTCCCTAAGGAGCTAGGATACACATCCACCAAACTTATTCTGAACATCCCGAAGGCTCAGCTACAAGTGCATCCTGATTGCATTTCCCTTGCTGCTTAGACACATCTGCACTTTAATATCTCAGGTCTTTTACAGCTGAGCTGGTGGCTCTGGGCTCACTGTGTAGTAAGGTAAAATTTGAGATAAACACATTAAACCTATTATAAGTCAGCTGTCATGGAAAAAGTGAAACAATACAGTACGTATCAACAAATTTATCATTGATGTACCTTGAAAAATCCAATCAGATTGGCAAATACTGTCCAAAATTTAATTAAGTGTAATGATTCGTAATCTTGGGAAATGAAATGAACTAATTATGTTATTATTCAATGTTTATTGGTGAGATATTGCAGTATAAATGCAGCTAGTCATTTGTCGTTATTAGCGTTTCTGAAGTAGTGAAACCGATGTGAATGCGACCCAAAAGCCATCATGCTGGTATGACTGTGTGGATCTGTATGAATTAAAAACCCAATGTCAAGTTAATTGGAACAGCAGGTGCCTTTTCTAAGATGAAAACCAGTCTGTTATTATCATAACATGAAGATCAAATCATGGAAGAAGAGACCAGGGGAGAAGAATGTGGCTTCTTGACATTAAGAACCCTGTTGTTTATTTTACAGACAACAACGGTAGCAGCACTTGCAGCAGCATCAGTGACATTGCCATTGATCGTTAATGCCAGTTCTACTGCAGTAAATGTGTCAACAACAACACTGCCGACAACAACATGTGAGTATTTGTGTTTTTGTCACTGATCAGTGTCAAATAAGCATTGGTAATTGTTTGGGCTGATACAGGGGATTGTTTCACAGTAAGACAAAATTCATTGGGCTTAGCTTAGACTGCCGAAATCAGATAGTCAGCTGTGCCAAGTTTGTCTAATTTATTTATTTATTTATTTATTATTCTGTTGTAAAAAAAAGGATTGAAGTTATCTGAATTTGTATTATTTGCTCATACAAAAAAGGAAATTTTAAAGCTTTCTCTTTACTCATCCCTGATTATATATAAAAGGAATATATTGAATTTGACAGCAATAATGAATACTTTGATTAAGTGTTTGGAAATGTTTGAAGAAACAGGATATAACAGATTAAAGGAATGATTATCCTTTCTTTGTATTTATAAGATTACAGAGAAGTCGTGATGAAAAAAGAGGCATGGTCTTTATTAAAGGGATTTCAAATAAAGACCTGATTTTCTCAAATTATGATTTTCATTATTATCATTATAATGTTTTAGCACTCTCAAATCTCAGCCTTAATTTCACTGATAAGATTTGACAATACTGATGAATGCTTTGATAAAAAATATGTGCCGTGGGTGTGAGGGAATGAAAATAAAAATCAGAAGGAAGATTTATTTATTCCTGATGATTTTTAATAAGATTGTAGAAAGCTAAAGATGGGTAAAGTGGATTGTCTTTTATTGGAAAAATTCATTTAGCAAAACCACACTTAACCAAGTGGGTTGTGGATGTTAAATGATGACGTCAATCAAAATATTTTTAATACCAATAATCAAAGAAATAAAGTATCTAATTTAATATCAATGTCAAAATGTCACTGTGCGTCAAAATGTCGCTATCTCTGACATATTTTGACGTAAATCAAGATAATTCTGATACCAGTAATGCAAATACAAAGCCCTAAGAACGGTGGCAAATTGGTGCTTGAGGAATAGCGCAAGTGAAACCTTTATTATGTGAGATTTGACTGATGGGTAGTTGCTGGGGACTATTGAATGTGTTGTATGTACAGTAATTAAGTTTTTGAGTGCAGATGGAGTTGGGTTCTATTTTTCTTGCAGTGACCAATAGTTGATTGTTGTAATTAGCATCTAATAAAAATTGCACCACGTACTAATGCACATCTAGCAAAGCAATACATTTAGTAAATTATACATAAAACACTGCACTATCATCATTGAAGTTGCTCTAGTGAAGATTGACAGTATGCCTACTTCCTTAAAACTCGTATGTATTTGCTTTAAATGTTTTTTATTTAATGTACACTTGTATATATTTTTAATTAATTATATAAATATATATTGAAATTCACTGTTTTTATTTACTCCGCATATTTCTTTTTTTTCCATATATTTTAATTTTGATTCTATAAACTGTTTATAAAATCTGTCAAACTTTTTGATACAGTTAAGGTTATAATTATTAATATTATTATTATTATTATTATTATTGATTAAAGCCCCAGGGGCCAGGTTAATCAAAGATTATCAATTTGATTTACATCATTTGTGACCCCTCTCTCTCCCCCCAAACTTCCCAAAATCTTGTTTGATTATTTGCCAAGTCCAGAGACTATGTGCAATCTGCAAGGAATTCCCAACCTACCTCCATTCAATTTTAATGTGCATTTAAGACTGCATGCTTATGTAGCATGATTGATATAATTGTGCTTTGCCTGTCTGTTTTCAAACTTATGTCACAGAACATTGCAATATGTATGAGACAATGCTATGATAGTCACATAGGGACCATTCCCACAGATATTTGGATCAATCTATCTCCATGGGGAGCCTCACTAAGTTACTATCAACTGAACCGGCTTAAATGTCTGTCACGCCTAGTAAAACTGTTAGGGGGTAATTATCTTTACCCCCTGGCTGATTCGGTAGGCGTGACAGACATTTTAGCTGGTTAAGTTGATAGCAATTTAATGAGACTCCCCAGGGAGTTGGACCGATCCAGATGGATTGATCTAGGCATGGGAACCCAGTCAGAGACATCTCATGGATCAAATTGTTCTTCAATTTCTTCTCATCTGACTTGGCTGATTTCACTATTCAAGTGGTACCCTATGGTGATGCAACTGTACCAGTACATTCTGGGAAATTGGGACCTAATAGCTTGACTATTACATAAGAGAGTCATCTTAACAAATCCCTTCACTTGACATGGCCAATTCATCAACTTCAGCAAGTAGCGAAATTTGTACAGCTATATCACTAAAGTATAACACTTGATGTGACAATAACCAATGAGTCATTTGTTGAAGGATGATTTAATAACCCATTTATTTATAATGATTCTGTACAGTCATATGAATTTTATATAAGTTCATTATTTGCATCATGGTATTTGAAAAAATAAAGATTAAAGATTAACTCATCTCTGTGCTGGTATTGTAACAAAATGATATAATTTGCCAATATGTGGTATATTTCTCTTTGAATGTTTGCAGAATGTTTCAGTTAGCATATGGTAACTGCTGAATATATTTGAATAAAATGAATTAGTAACCTCCATCCTCTCCAAGTGAAAAAACAAATATGCTTTGCTAGTAAAACTTAAGATTTTGATAAAAAAAAGTTTTGAAGAGTGAGTTGGCTTTGTGCAAGAAAATACATCATTGTGAATGTCTGAAAATGATATATCTTTAAAAAAAAATGTATTTGAAATTTTCTATTAATTTGAATACAGCTGTGTGAAAAAAAAAGGCACATTGTATCATTTTGTTATTCTTGCATTTTTTTTTCGCAATCAGCGTAGTTTTACATTAGAAAAACTGTCTGTATTATTACCTTATTACGCCACCAAGCCAATGTCTGCATTGCACTGGATACACTCAAGTGACAGGAGACATTCAATGACATTACATTCAAGCAACAATGACAGTATGTCATTACTGTGACAGTTAAGTCTGTTTTAATGTGACAGATCATTGTGGCCTTTCTGCAAGCTGTTGCTGTATAATATCATATCATATAATACTAGTAGTTGTTTTAGTTAGTAATGTGTGGTACTCATAAAGTAACCTTGCACTTTTGTGACAAAATTTGAAGATCATACCATCCTGCTTGTCAGCATGTGTGAGGCATTCTTAGACCATTAGAGTGAACTTGCTACATAAAAGGAGATTGATACTCATCACCAGGGGTGTACATGGGTCCTTCAGGATTTTAGTGTGCCTTATGGGGGGTGGGGCTGCCACTTTGGGAGGATGATTTTTTCCTTTCACATAGAGATTATTTTCATTAAAGGTTACCTTCTTATTGTATTAAGGTTTATTATTGAGCAAAACGATAAAAATTGCCATATCTCTGGCCATAATTTAAAGGTAGTTTTAGCAGTTTCACTCATTTCCAGCCATTGCCAGATACAGACTTACAGGTTCCAAAGAACTGCCCTATTGGCCTGTAAAAGTCCAGCTGCATCTAAGTTTGACACCAGCTTCTTTGCATTTTTCAAGTTGGGGTCAATTTGCGGGGAGGGGTAAAATGAATCACCCTAAACTCCCCCCTCCCAACCCTATTTGAAATTGCTTTCAACATGCCTGAGATATGACAGTATAGTAATTACATTAATTGCACCATTATGCCTCTGTAGCTTTAATCATCACAAAGCAGTGCTCTGGCTTGACTACAAATATAATCATCACACATCGCTGCTTCTTTTTTTTTTTTTTTTCAGCCTTCTTATATTGAGTTCTGAATAGTGGTAAAATGTTGTTTTTTTTTTTTAATCTGGACCGCACTAGTCTGTACTAATATTCTGCTCTACACTATTATTAGACTGACAAGGAATTTTTTCAATGTTTTTACAATTCGGAACTCAAGAGTTACTTGTCATGATTTAGTGAATGTTTGCACTTTATGATATAGTGAGTGTTTGCATGATAATGTTTCACCGTTATTACAGATCACTCAGTGGATATTCCATCGTCAACACACAAACCCAAAGGTGACATTAACACACCTTTTTTATTTTTCTTTTATTAATTTGAATTAATAATACTTAATGAATTGCATGACACAGTTTTTCTTATTTCTGGAGTGTTTTCACTTTGAAAGTCTGCAGCATGTGCAGTGTTCATTTATTTTTGGATTTGGTTTTTGGGTTGCCTTTGATTGAGGGGCATGAACTCATTAAGCATGTTTTTTTTTCATTATTATTGTGGATTGCTGAGTTAGTAAAGTAAATACAGTTCTGTTCCCAGTTGAGTTAGGTTAGCCTAACTCTGAACAACCCCTCTGAGCAGGGTTAGGATTATGATTATGATTAACTCACCCTTGGAAATCTATCTAACAGTTTGTGAATAATATCTGAGGGGTGGGACAGAGAAAAGCTTAGACTGGGTTCCCACAGATTTAGATTGATCCATCTGGATCGACCTAACTCCCTGGGGGTTCATGCTAAATTGCTGTCAGCTTCCAGAGCCGAGCGTGCACAAAAGTTAATTACCCTCTTACGGCTTTTAGTAGGCGGGACAGACATTTAAGCCAGTTAGTTGACAGCAATCTAGTGAGACTCACCAGGGGGATAGATCAATCTAAATATCTGTGGGAATGGTCTCTTAGATTGTAAACTTGTGGTTAAGAAAATTTTCCAATGGCAATATTACCACAATTATTTGTGGGGCAGAGGAGGGATTAGAACTGATACCCGTGGTTAGAAATCATAATCTTAATCACCTGGTCTGCTCAGATTGCAAATACTAGATTTGGTGAATACCATTTGACACAAAGAACCCCTGCATATAATAGAGTACAATAACTCTTCTAAACCCTTGTATTGGTTAATTCATCCAAGCATTAACTCAAGAACAGGTGCCATAGAAGGCATTAAATTGGGAAATGGAGTAAGTTGAAGAATGGGGATAGTTAAGTATATATTGTAGACTTCATTTTACCTTTTGGTTCATATACTGTATATTTAATGTGGTCTTAAATTGGCACACATAGACATTACAGATAAATATAGGAAATTATTGCTAATATTGGAATTATATTGAAATGTAGGATGAGTCAGAAAGATATTTTTATGACGTGTCAGCCTGTTTTAAATATTTTTTCATTTCTAGACGCTATTTGTGTGAAACTCTTTTTGTCATGGATATGACACAAACAGACGCTATTTGTGTGAAACTCTTTTTGTCATGGATATGCTTTGGAGATTACTTCTTATTTTGTTCAGTCACTGGATTATTATACATTGTATATAATTGCTCCCTGATACAGATCCACAACGTAGGTGTCACTCTTTTCAAGACAAGCTTAATTGTACAATTTTGTTCATTTATGTATTGAATTTCTTCTCACAGTGCTCCCCCTTGTGGTGTCGGCTGGAACTAACAAGGACATTCAGTTGCCAGAGAATTCTGTGACCCTAACAGCATTTGCCTTGCCTAAAGCCACCAAAGGTAAGTACAAATAATGCTATATTGAACAATAGGGGCACATTGTTCTAATTGTGCTTGGAACAGGGATGCTGTAGTTCAGCAAAATTTGGATATAAATAATATAAAAATCAGTGACTAGTGGTACCAATGGTAACTCACTTAAATCCACTTGATGCCTTTTCTCTTTGTGCCCATTTATAACTGCACTGCCTTTAGAAGATTTAGTATTATTATTTACTCGTCATGCTTTACAGATTGACAATAACATTTTTANATAGTCATCTTAACAAATCCCTTCACTTGACATGGCCAATTCATCAACTTCAGCAAGTAGCAAAATTTGTACAGCTATATCATTAAGTAAAACACTTGATGTGACAATAAGCTATGAGTCATTTGTTGAAGGATGATTTAATAACCCATTTATTTATAATGATTCTGTACAGTCATATGAATTTTATATAAGTTCATTATTTGCATCATGGTATTTGAAAAAATAAAGATTAAAGATTAACTCATCTCTGTGCTGGTATTGTAACAAAATGATATAATTTGCCAATATGTAGCATATATTTCTCTTTGAATGTTCACAGAATGTTTCAGTTAGCATATGGTAACTGCTGAATATATTTGAATAAAATGAATTAGTAACCTCCATCCTCTCCAAGTGAAAAAACAAATATGCTTTGCTAGTAAAACTTAAGATTTTGATAAAAAAAAAAAAGTTTTGAAGAGTGAGTTGGCTTTGTGCAAGAAAATACATCATTGTGAATGTCTGAAAATGATATATCTTTAAAAAAATGTATTTGAAATTTTCTATTAATTTGAATACAGCTGTGTGAAAAAAAGGCACATTGTATCATTTTGTTATTCTTGCATTTTTTTTTCGCAATCAGCGTAGTTTTACATTAGAAAAACTGTCTGTATTATTACCTTATTACGCCACCAAGCCAATGTCTGCATTGCACTGGATACACTCAAGTGACAGGAGACATTCAATGACATTACATTCAAGCAACAATGACAGTATGTCAGTACGGTGACAGTTAAGTCATTTTTAATGTGACAAATCATTGTGGCCTTTCTGCAAGCTGTTGCTGTATAATATCATATCATATAATACTAGTAGTTGTTTTAGTTAGTAATGTATGGTACTCATAAAGTAACCTTGCACTTTTGTGACAAAATTTGAAGATCATACCATCCTGCTTGTCAGCATGTGTGAGGCATTCTTAGACCATTAGAGTTAACTTGCTACTTAAAACGGGATTGATACTCATCACCAGGGGTGTACATGGGTCCTTCAGGATTTTAGTGTGCCTTATGGGGGGTGGGGCTGCCACTTTGGGAGGATGATTTTTTCCTTTCACATAGAGATTATTTTCATTAAAGGTTCCCTTCTTATTGTATTTTGGTTTATTATTGAACAAAACGATAAAAAAATTGCCATATCTCTGGCCATGTTTTAAAGATAGTTTTAGCAATTTCAGTCATTTCCAGTTAGTGCCAGATGTAGACTTACAGGTTCCATAGAACTGTCCTATTGGCCTGTAAAAGTCCAGCTGCATCTAAGTTTGACACCAGCTTCTTTGTATTCTTCAAGTTGTGGTCAATTTGCGGGGAAGGGGTAAAAAGATTCATCCTATACTCTCCTCCCCCCAACCCTATTTGAAATTGCTTTCAACATGCCTGAGATATGACAGTATGATAATTACATTAATTGCACCATTATGCTTCTGTAGCTTTAATCATCACAAAGCAGTGCTCTGGCTTGACTACAAATATAATCATCACACATCGCTGCTTCTTTTTTTTTTTTTTTTTTTTTCAGCCGCCTTATATTGAGTTCTGAATAGTGGTAAAATGTTGTTTTTTTTTTTAAATCTGGACCGCACTAGTCTGTACTAATATTCTGCTCTACACTATTATTAGACTGACCAGAAATTTTTTCAATGTTATTACAATTCGGAACTCAAGAGTTACTTGTCATGATTTAGTGAATGTTTGCACTTTATGATATAGTGAGTGTTTGCATGTTAATGTTTCACTGTTATTACAGATCACTCAGTGGACGTTCCATCATCAACACACAAACCCAAAGGTGACATTAACACACCTTTTTTTAAAATTTTTCTTTTATTAATTTGAATTAATAATACTTAATGAATTGCATGACAGTTTTTCTTATTTCTGGAGTGTTTTCACTTTGAAAGTCTGCAGCATGTGCAGTGTTCATTTATTTTTTGGATTTGGTTTTTGGGTTGGCTTTGATTGAGGGGCATGAACTCATTAAGCATGTTTTTTTTTTTTTGCATTATTATTGTGGATTGCTGAGTTAGTAAAGTAAATACAGTTCTGTTCCCAGTTGAGTTAGGTCAGCCTAACTCTGAACAACCCGTCTGAGCAGGGTTAGAATTATGATTATGATTAACTCACTCTAGGAAATCTATCTCACAACTTGTGAATAATATCTGAGGGGTGGGACAGAGAAAGGCTAAGACTGGGTTCCCACAGATTTAGATTGATCCATCTGGATCGACCTAACTCCCTAGGGGTTCACGCTTAATTGCTGTCAGCTTCCAGAGCCGAGCGCGCACAAAAGTTAATTACCCCCTTACAGCTTTTAGTAGGCGGGACAGACATTTAAGCCGGTTGGTTAACAGCAGTCTAGTGAGACTCACCAGGGGGATAGATCGATCTAAATATCTGTGGGAATGGTCTCTTAGATTGTAAACTTGTGGTTAAGAAAATTTTCCAGTGGCAATATTACCACAATTGTTTGTGGGGCAGAGGAGGGATTAGAACTGATACCCGTGGTTAGAAATCATAATCTTAATTACCTGATCTGCTCAGATTGCAAATACTGGATTTGGTGAATACTGTTTGACACAAAGAACCCCTGCATATAATAGTGTACAATAACTCTTCTAAACCCTTGTATTGGTTAATTCATCCAAGCATTAACTCAAGAACAGGTGCCATAGAAGGCATTAAATTGGGAAATAGAGTAAGTTGATGAATGGGGATAGTTAAGTATATAGTGTAGACTTCATTTTACCTTTTGGTTCATATACTGTATATCTAGTATGGTCTTAAATTGGCACACATAGACATTGTAGATAAATATAGAAAATTATTGCTAATATTTGAATTATATTGAAATGTAGGATGAGTCAGAAAGATATTTTTATGACGTGTCAGCCCGTTTTAAATATTTTTTCATTTCTAGACGCTATTTGTGTGAAACTCTTTTTGTCATGGATATGCGTTGGAGATCATTCTCATTTTGTTCAGTCACTGGATTATTATACATTGTATATTATTTGCTCCCTGATACAGATCCACAACATAGGTGTCACTCTTTTCAAGACAAGCCCAATTGTACAATTTTGTTCATTTATGTATTGAATCTCTTCTCACAGTGCTCCCCCTTGTGGTGTCGGCTGGAACTAACAAGGACATTCAGCTGCCGGAGAATTCTGTGACCCTTACAGCATTTGCCTTGCCTAAAGCCACCAAAGGTAAATACAAGTAATGCTATATTGAATAATATAGGGGCACATTGTTCTATTGTGCTTGGTACAGGGATGCTGCAGTTCAGCAAAATTTGGATATAAATAATATAAAAATCAGTGACTAGTGGTACCAATGCTAACTCACTTAAATCCACTTGATGCCTTTTCTCTTTGTGCCCATTTATAACTGTACTGCCTTTAGAAGATTTAGTATTATTATTTACTCGTCATGTCTTACAGATTGACAGTAACANGCAATCTTATTGAAGGGGTGGATTGAAACCATCTTCTGGGTCTTCTTGAAGACAGGTTATTAAGTTTATATTGACTGGTATCTATTTTTTTCTGTTGGAAGACCATCAAAATGGAGGATGGATCAACATAGATACTTTGGAATACTGTCAGAAAATATCTCAGGGTCCGCTCCTGTTATTGACCATGTTACCTGTTGTGCATGATTAAAATTCAGTGTTGACTGACAGTGCTATTATAAGCATTATTTATTATTGCATCAAAATTGACAAAATGACCTTTTTTTGCATCTTTATTTGTCTGTACATTTGACAGCTTTGCTGCCTTGTTAGTATTTCCAGTTTTTTAATTTCCCTCCAAGTATGTTAATATGTTATGAGAGTAATAGGCGTTATTTCTGAGAGTACAATTGAAATGTTGAAGGAATACATTTTTGTATCTTTCATTGTGGTAGATGTGACATACCACACAGCTCATCTCATCTCAAACAATTACTGTTATAAAACATTTTGATAAAATATTTTGATTAGTGAGTACCAGCAGTGTTGATTTAGCATTCTAAAAATTTAGTTATTTAGTTTATTAGTTATTTAGTTTATTAGTTATTTAGTTTATTGTCAGTTACTACTTTTTTAGTGTCTAAAATGATAAATCATGAGAAAAATAATGAACTGTTTGAAGAATTGTATTAATTACCACACCTTCCAGGAGAGAAGTATAAATATGAGTGGTCCATGGAGTCAGGACCCAGGGGGTCAGAGTCAGGGAAGATGGTGGGGAAGAACACACCTACTCTTCAGCTCACGGAGGTAGGAAAAATACAAGTGATGACTTGCAAAATTGTTCTTTTACAAAAATGCTTTTGTGTAAATCATATGTGCAAAGTATACTTTTCAATTTGATGTGGAAGTACAAGTACTCACTAGCATATAACATTTTCAAATTGTTTTTCATAAATTTTATTGCAAATCTTAAACTTGTAGTCAATTTATTAAAAATTTGTGTAACTTATTTACACTGCACTATTGGTGTTAAAGGATTTGTGAAGGTTGTCTTCATAATATTATTGTTTCTTCTTGTCTTTACTAGCTGATAGCTGGCCTGTACGAATTCAAAGTAACCGTGACAGGAGAGGCAAAATATGGAGAAGGTCACGTCAATGTCACCGTGCTTCCACGTAAGGTTTTGATTTGTCAGACATTAAAAAATGTCTCAAATGATTTCATGAAGCAAGAGTCATGTTAGTCTGTAAAATTTAGTTGTTCAAAATACTAAAAAGTTTGCCGAATTGACTTAGTTACTTAATGAAAATGTAAGTTTGTTCACAAAGGGATGAATAAAGTTAAAATTTCCAATTTTGCTATAGATGTTTGGTTATTTGGTTTTAAGATAGTTTAACATCTTTGAGTGAGGGGAGCCAAGTTCTGTGCCTTTGTAACAGTTACTCTGATCAGTTTACTTGACAGTTGTTGGATCCTTCAAATCAAAAAGTACTTGATCAGAAAAAAAATTGGGAAAATTAGGAAAAAATAGGAAAGGGATATTAACAACGGATTACTTTTTCATTCCAGCCAAGCGTAAAAATACGCCCCCAGTTGCTGTGATTAAACCAGCCAGTCAACGCATTGAGCTGCCCAACAGTGCCATACTGGACGGCTCAGGTAAGTCAGAGATCTTTAGTTGGTCTAAACCTTTAGAGAGATCTTAGGCCTTATTCAGTGAAAAAGTTAGTCTATCACTTGCAGTTTGTCTAAACTTTAAGACCAAAATGAGCCTGCTTTCATCCAAGATGAACTGCAGTATTCCAATCAAATGATATATTGTGTCACTTTTAAAAACATGTCAAGAACAATTTGTATTGAAAAGGTAATAGTAGAAGCAGAAGTAGTATTAGTAGTTATTAAGTAATAATTTACATTAAATTAAAATTGATTGATATTAAATAAGTCATGAAGAAATGAAATGCTTTGTGCTTTTCAGTTTTTTATCCCTATGAATGAATTACCATATTGTAAATGATAAGTCAGAGATGCTATTCTTTTAGACTTAGTAAGATGAATCCTTCATTGACCATTAAAATTTCTTCTATTTTCCATTCCAGGTAGTAAAGATGATGACAAAATAGTCAGTTATTATTGGGAAGAGGTTAGTGGTCCACTGGAGTCCTCAGATTTCAAAGACAGCGACAAACCTCTCCTCTCCCTGAAGAATTTGTCACCTGGAGAATACAAGTTTAAGTGAGTAGAGCCTATCATATTGATATGTATAGAATAGATCATATACTGTGCTTGATTAGGTTAGGGGAATTCTGAATTGAATGTGTATAGATGAAATAAATTTATAAATGGCAATTTTAATTATGATTTTAATTATTTGAAGATAAATAGATTTGATGATTGAGCAGAATTTTTGAAAACACTCCAGTTGCAGATGCTCAGCAGAATTCATGTCATTTACAACCATAAAAAATCTGATCAGCTTCACCTAATGAGGACATTTTTTTCAGACTATATTGACAGCATTGGTCTGTGGCAAATACCAGTAAAATTTAAATTAAATTAAAAAATTTAAAGTAAAATTGAAGGCAGTCTTGTAAAATTTCTCAATTTCTTTGGTTATTGACCTTTGCTTTTGCTTTTAAATTAGACTGTTTTGCTCCTAGACCTTCTGGCCTATAGACATTGAAGCTAAAATATTTTTGGCACAAGCTGTTGTTCAGTGTAATTTCTCTAATTTCAGACTAACTGTGACAGATTCTGATGGTGTGACAGACTCTACCTATGCAAATGTTACAGTCATAAAAGGTGGATAATGAGATTGGTTCAACTCTTATATCAGAATAAATATAACTCTCTGATATCCCCCCTCCACCCCCCCCCCACCCCCACTTACAGAAACTGACTATGAACCCTAAGTCAAGACACACATAGTTACATAAAGTAACCTGTTGTATACCCTGATAATAATGTTGTCTGAATATCAGTCTCTGTGTAAACATTTTTTTAAAGTTGTTACTGTAGTTTAAGTGCCAAAGTTACAGAATATATTGTTAGCTCATTGCCATTGTGAAAATGAACTTGTAGCAGAATAATAGATACATGAATAATTTTTCTATCTCGTCTATATATGTATCAGAAACTGACTACCGTCCCCAAGCCAACGCTGGTTCCACCCAAGTGATCAGCCTTCCCAAGAACTCCATTACGCTGTATGGGAACGCCAGCTCTGATGACAAGGGGATTGCAAGCTACGAGTGGATAAAAGCCGATGATAAGTTAACTGCTGACATGCAGGTAGGAAAAATAAACATTTCTTCACTCATTGTCATAAAACTATACCAGATGTGGTGGGGCTTCTATATTTCTGGTTATTTTTTTCACCATCCATTATTTAGTTGAAAATATATAAACAGCGAATTTCACATAATCAATATTTAAATTGATGTTATCTAAAATATTTCCATTACACTAAAGCATAATACTAATAGTAACGGTGGCTTTTTATACAAAAATTACAACCAAAAGGTAAATAGTATAAATACAGTGGAATCTGAAAGACATGAGAAGCAATAAAAATGATCATATAATGATATATTATTTTAGATGGTTGAGGAGGGTTTATTTCATTGATACTTAACATTTAAGTTCACATAAAGGTAATGAAGGAGATGTTCTTTGTTTTCCAGGGTGTCCGCACACCATTCCTACATCTGTCCAATCTACAGGAGGGGGATTACACCTTCACGCTAAAAGTCACGGACACATCTGGACAGACAGACACGGCGGACGTCCACGTGTTTGTGAAACCAGGTAAAGTGCAAAGATAATATTGTGTGCTTGCATGCATGAACACATACACACCCAAGCTTAATGTTGACCTATCACTGGATGTTTTTAGTGATATTGTACTGAGATAGTGAGAAAATTAAGTGTTATACAGCTTCTGGATCCTACTTTGAAACGAGATTACAACATTTTGACCTTCTGGCAAAGTTTTCTCCAGGTCAACTGATTTTGAATTGTGTCCGGTGTCTCGTGGTCGTGTTCTGCTAAGGATGTCTCCCAGGGCCCGATCCTACAGATGTGGTACTTCGTGTCTCAGATCACTGTGTTCTAACTTTCAAATGCTAACACTCCAATTGTCCAAAGGTTATAGCATGCGTCTGCACAGTGCATTGTAATACATTGTAACTGACACTTGAAGGAGAAACTTGCTTGGTAACAGGATTTGTTTACACACTGCATGCTGGGTAAAAAGGGCAATCTTCCAGGTTTTTTCCAGTATTAGAACTGATTTTCTCATTATCTCAGTTCAAAGAAAAAAATTTTCACATTTTGAATATTTTCTTGTCCAGAACACAACCAGGCGCCAGAGGCCAATGCTGGGGAGGACCAGACCGTCATGATCCCTGAAAACCAGTCTACAACTCTAGATGGCAGGAAGAGCACCGACGACAAGAAAATTACTTCCTACCAGTGGAAGCAGATAAAGTAAATCTGATCAATTCTTTTTCTTTGTGTTTTTATTTTTAATTCATTTATTTGTTTAAAATTGAATGCCTTTTTTGTCTGTTGAATACTTATATGTTATTTTCATCCATAACAAACTAACACTGAACTATCATACACATACTGCACAGTGTGAATATCAATTCCAAAATGGCTAAATACCAATGATTTTTCTTTCAAATAGTTAAACAAAAAAATCACATGATTTCAGAGGTCCAAATACAGCAGATATTATCCATGAAGACCAAGCAGTTGCCACGGTAACCAACCTGGTAATAGGGGAGTACATATTTGAGCTGGTCGTGGCAGACAAGGAAGGTCTCACAGGAAAAGACCGATTGAAGGTGCTGGTTCAGGAGAGTAAGTGCAGTTTCCTTGGAATTATTTTAGGGCAGGAAGTTTAAGAATACTAATTTTCCTCGTAAAAAAACCCAGATTGGATTTGCCACGGTACTCGTATACTGCCTGTAAATCCCTTCCCTTGGAGTGTCTAAGGCAGATGGTTTCAGGCCAAGTGAGTAATTCTAAATGTAGAAAAAATAATGGTATCTTTTTAGATGGGCTGAAAGAATTAAATAAGAATTTAATGTTAAATTCAAAAAGACAGAGCAGCCCATAAATGATACTCAAGAGAAAAAAAAAGACACAAAATTGATGGTATTAATTTTCAAAAACGGGCTGCCAATAAAAGATATCTAAAAGAATATATTTTAATACACACTTGATGACATTTTTCAGAGAAGAACCAGCCACCCGTTGCCAGTGCCGGTGGAGATCAGCTGCTGACCATGCCTGTGTCTCTGGTCAAGCTGGACGGCTCAGGGTCCAAGGATGACCGAGCCATTGCCTCGTACTTGTGGGAGAAAAGTGAAGATAGTCTGGCTGCTGGGGTGAGTGGGGTGGTTGTGGCTTAGGATAACAGGCTATGCTTGAATTGTTTTGGAATTCTTTATTTTTTAATTCCAAGTTGCAGCTTTCTTTCCCCACTAAATAAATGAATAAATAAATAAATAAATAAATAAAAGGTTATGATATTATTTTTTTTTGTAATGAATGGAAAATTCAGTGACATTTTTGCTGCCCTTGTCATTTATCCAAGGTCTCTGGATGTCAATTTCTTTAACTTGATATGGATGATATTCACAGAATATTTCCTTTATATGGTATAGTTTATTTATATAGGTTATTAAATGATCTTAGACTATCACCAATAAATTTTTATTTCATAATTCTTAGAAAATCCTGAATGGCTCTGACCACATGCCAGTGTTACTGATGACTGACATGGTGCCAGGTCACTACATGTTCACACTGACCGTTACTGACCAGGACGGCCTCAGCAGCAAGGACGCGGCCTCTGTGATAATAAAAGAAGGTAAAGATGTCTGTATTCAGCATGTTTGTGTGTGTGTGTGTGTTTTCTGTCTCACTTTCTGTTTGACATTTTTATTATTATGCTTAACAAAAAATACTATTAATATATTCTGTCTTTAAATTTATAGTTAAAAAACGATAAACTTGAATTCTTTCCAGAATTGTAATCAACATAAAGAAAGAAAAACATAAAATTTCATGATATAATATGTATTTTATTTTTCAGATGAAAATTCTAAGAACCTGTTACAGATGTACCTGGATGTAGATATTGCTGTCTTTAAGGAGAAAAATAAGGTGCTCCTCTTGATAACAGTTGTCTGAATGCTTTAAGAATATAATAAATAGTATATTGTGTTTGCAATACATGATTGGTGACAAAATTCATAAAACAATTACACTCTTAAAAATATGTATATATATCGGGCATTAAAAAGATTAAACATTGGAAATGAATAAACAAAGGTGATCTTTATATTAATTAAATCATGCAAAAAAAAGAGTATATTTATGACAACTTGGTAAAAAAAACTAACTTAACAACAGTGCTTTGAGCCTCATTTCATTTCATTGATTTTCAGCAAAACCTTGCCAATCAGCTTGCCTTGCTGCTGCAGAAGACGCTGCCAGGGGGCGACACCACTGTGGATATTAGAAATATAGAGCAAGATATGAGGACGGGACAGTAAGAATATGCCTAATGTTTGATAAACATGATAAATGTTGAATGCAGAGTTAACTATTGATAGCATGTGAGAATTCATTTACGATTATGTCTAATGCAAAGTATTCATAATAGGTTTCATTGTCTTTTTTTTCTTCACAGAGTAATTGTGACATTTCTGGTGAGGTCAGAGTTCAAGGACACTCATTTGACCCACGCGGGGACGAAGATTGTCAAAATTCTCAAGCAGAGGCTCAAGTCAGATGCGGATGTATTAGAGTTTGAAGTGGTGCAATTAGATACTCTAGGTGAGACTGAGATTTGTTTTAGAGCACATTCAGAACAGTGGACTAACAGATCAAATATGGCGACCCACTAAAAAGGTTGTCGCTTAAATTTCTGATAAGACACTGAATAGATTTCTTACGGGGATTATGCAACAAGCATTCCAGTGGTTCGGCCATATTTGATCTGCGGATCTGTTAGTCCCCTGTTCTGAATGAGTCCTTAGTTTGTTAATAGATACAGTGTCAAATATCATTAGATATCATCTGACACTATTCAGTATTATTGAGTCAGATTCAATTTTTGTTGGGTGGGTGGTGAACTTTATATGTTGACTGGCACATCTTTTAAAGTCAAATTTGTTTCTTCAAGAAGGGTTAAATATTTGGAGGAGGAGAATTTCTGGCTCCTACACAAAATAATTCTGGGTTTATTTTCTCACAAGTATTTCTGTTTTAAACAAAATAAGAGTTTGTTGTGTCAGAACCTCCTCATGGAATATTGCCTTATTTCTCAGGCTATTGACAAAATCTACACTTCTGTTCGAATTACGTAGCTGATGAAAAATTGAAAATTTAGAAAATTTGGACAACAAATATTTTTCTTGAATTAATTTTTTTTTTAATTTCAGTGTGCCAGAACAACTGTTCAGGACACGGGAGGTGTGACTCCTACACCAAGCAGTGTGTCTGTGATGCTTTCTGGATGGAGAATTTCTTCAAAGCCGCACTGGAAAAAGATTATAATTGTGGTAGGTGTTTGTGGAAGCCAAGCCTGGAAAAAGGGAATATAATTATCATGAAGGGTGTTCATTGATTTTGTGATGTAGTGAGACTAATGGCCCAGTCACAATGTCGGCAATCTGTCGGGGATTAGTTTTGGCCGGGGGTCGTCGTAGAAAATAAAGAATCCTTGAACAATCCTAGCAATAATCCTAATAAAAGTGGGGCAGTCACATTGTCTGAGATTTTTTCAAGGATTTTGACCCGGCTTTGTCGAAAAAAACGTGGGATTAGCCTCCGGTCGCCTCCGATTGCATCTTCAAAATCTTCTGTCACAGCCTCCTGCAGCAAGAGCCTCTCAAACTTTTAGCAATCCGGTCGGAGGCGCCCTTATATACACGGCGATTTACTACGATTCCACCGTACGATTCGTCGGAGACGATCACATAAAGCGTACGAGTCGTCGCAGGGCGCCTCCGATTTAGTCGGAGGGCGCCTGAGACTACTCGCAGACATTGAATCTCAACCTGATTTTCCAATCCCACACAGAATCTTGCGACTAGTCTCAGATTATTCGGAGGATGCCTCCGATTAATTGGAGGGCATCGTAGGTCATCGGAGATTGTGTCTGGGATGCACAAAATGGGTGAAAAATCTTGCGGGCAATCTTAAAATTTTAAGTTCAAAGTTGGGGACTGCGACGGGTGTGGCGATGTCTAAAAAATCTGCGACAACCCGCAGGTGTCCGGAGAGCGCCTCCGACGGGTGCAAAATCGTGAGATCTGTCTCAAGATTTTCTTCAAATTTCCCGGGTTTTACCCATCCCCGACGCATCGCAACTGATTTGTGACTGGCCACTAAGCGTTGTGGAACTAGTTTCACCAAAGTATGATTTCAAGTTAAAATTGTTACAAAGATAATAAATTCAAGATTTGTGTATAGTACTTGTGAGCATCATTTACTGCGCTGTCTTATTTCTTTGTTTCATTCAAAGGCTGTTTAAAATTGTTTAAGTGGAGCTTAACAAATGGGAGTTTGACTGTAATTTTTGTTGATAGAAAACAATACTTCTTGAGATTTATAACTTGGATTGCTTATGTTTTTTCAGATTGGAGTATACTATATGTAGTGATAGTGATATTTGTGATAGTCATCACTCTAGCAGCCATAATATGGGGAGTTTACTACTGTGCAAAAAGGTATGATTAAAGCTAGACAAAGAAGGGAAAATAAATCAAAAATAAATGCAGCTGACCTTTTGGTTTTGTAAGTGACATTAAGATGAAAAAATGGATATTTATTATTTGAAAAAAATAGAGATATGTACTGTGCACAGACAAATTATTTATTTGAAAGATAACAATTTAAAATAACATCAGTGTTTTGACGAGTTTAAGTACATTTACAATATAGTCCTTCATGTTAGATAAAATATAACATTTGTATTCAGATTTTGCTTTGTAATACTGAAATTCATGTTCCAGTTGCAAAATTAATGACTTGAAACTAATTTGTGATTTCAGATGTAAAACGCGGCCGAGGAAAAGGCACCGTTATCAACTATTGTCAGACTCTCTTCAGAAAGATGATATGGAGATGCTGCCAAAAGGTAAGTAAACTGGGACAGAAAACTAAAGATAAGCCATCAGTGCCTCGCCTTTTCTTTGTCAGGGTTTGTCAGGATTTCTTATTTTTCCAGCTATTTTAAATAGATTAATTAAAATTAGAATGATTAAAATTACTCTATACCATTTTATATTAATTTTCCAAGTGGGCAGGGGTTTTGGGGGCAAAGCAATTTTCTCCCACCCAGAAATCATTGCTTAACATGTCCCTGCACTTGGATTTGGTATTTTATTCCAAATTGAAATTAATTGTTAGTGATTAAATAATTTATTATTTCAGGCAAAATGGTGAACGGCAATATCATGGCGTCAGAGTCCGAGCTTAGCAGTGGAGAGGAGACATTATTTGTTAACCAGAAAAAACAGAACGGACATGTCAGGAAACCAATGAATGGACTGATTACAAGACAGACAAATAAAAATATTGCTTAAGGGAGGGAAAAAGAATACCAGATGAAGACAAGAACACTGTATATTTCAGTAAGGATGTGGCACAAGGCAGAAGAATTATGATATTATTGCTCAGCCATTCCACTGTATAAAGAGAAACCCTTGGGAATTTCTCAAATAGAAAGGGAAATGCATTCAAAAGACTCATAAGTGATTATACATACAAATGATTTCATGACATGAAGATGTTATAAAACAAACACAAAAGAAAAATATGAATGGAGCAGAAGAAATTATCCAGACAAATAAGCACATGCCAAAAGTATTCTTTCAAAAGGAACCATGGCGGAATGAAACGGCATGGAGCAGAAGCAGTTATACAGACAAATAAGTACATAACAAAGAAAACTTGGTAGATGTATGCACAGGAAGAGTAATTACAGCCTTATATGCATAGAATGTTGCCAAGAATTGTGCAGGCGATTGCATCAGTGATGACAGAAATATGAGTATAGTGTCATCATGGTGTCCAATCAGTGTAATGTTGCCCAAACTTGGTGAAAGGGTACTCCAGAACAATGGAGTGGTACTGGAGTACATTGTTATGATGCGCTTAGTACAACTTAGGTGGTGCCTGAGCTACATGTGATGGTACCACCAGCAGGATATTATGGTGCCTAGGCACAGCTTTATAGATACTGCAGCACAGTAACTAATGGTGCCTGAGCTCAGTGTTATGGTACAAACAGCAGGATGTTATGGTGCCTAGGCACAGCTTTAAGGTACTACAGCATAGTAATGGTGCCAGAGCTCAGTGTTATGGTACAAACAGCAGGGTGTTATGGTGCCTAGGCACAGCTTTAAGGTACTACAGCATAGTAATGGTGCCAGAGCTCAGTGTTATGGTACAAACAGCAGGGTGTTATGGTGCCTAGGCACAGCTTTAAGGTACTACAGCATAGTAATGGTGCCAGAGCTCAGTGTTATGGTACAAACAGCAGGGTGTTATGGTGCCTAGGCACAGCTTTAAGGTACTACAGCATAGTAATGGTGCCAGAGCTCAGTGTTATGGTACAAACAGCAGGGTGTTATGGTGCCTAGGCACAGCTTTAAGGTACTACAGCATAGTAATGGTGCCAGAGCTCAGTGTTATGGTACAAACAGCAGGGTGTTATGGTGCCTAGGCACAGCTTTAAGGTACTACAGCATAGTAATGGTGCCAGAGCTCAGTGTTATGGTACAAACAGCAGGGTGTTATGGTGCCTAGGCACAGCTTTAAGGTACTACAGCATAGTAATGGTGCCAGAGCTCAGTGTTATGGTACAAACAGCAGGGTGTTATGGTGCCTAGGCACAGCTTTAAGGTACTACAGCATAGTAATGGTGCCAGAGCTCAGTGTTATGGTACAAACAGCAGGGTGTTATGGTGCCTAGGCACAGCTTTAAGGTACTACAGCATAGTAATGGTGCCAGAGCTCAGTGTTATGGTACAAACAGCAGGGTGTTATGGTGCCTAGGCACAGCTTTAAGGTACTACAGCATAGTAATGGTGCCAGAGCTCAGTGTTATGGTACAAACAGCAGGGTGCTATGGTGCCTAGGCACAGCTTTAAGGTACTACAGCATAGTAATGGTGCCAGAGTGCAGTGTTATGGTACCACCAGCAGTACACTGCTGTGAAGATAAAGACTACTGTTGCCTGCCAGTTTCACCCACCATGTATTTTACAACCAAGAAAACAATGGCAAAATTTTATAACTTCAGATTTCAAAGTCGATATGTGGTGTGAGACCACTAATTGTCAACATGCTAAAGTTCACCAGGGCCCCACTGTTTATCCTGAACATGGCATAAGCACAGGCTCAGTTGAAAGTGGTATATGTGAAGGTATTGAAGTAGTTTATATATCACATACACCATAACTGTTCAGGTTTGTACATCAGAGGGAATTCAATGGAAACCTACCAAAAAAATCTCCAAACTTGAAGCTCAGTAGTGATGAAGTGTCAAACTGATTTATGTTTGAGGTGCAGCGTAAGTAAAGGTTTGGGTAACAAAGGCAGTTAGTGGAAACTTAACAAATGGGAAATGGTGAGCTTATTACCAGTTTTGTCAGACTTGGACTACAAATAAAGCTGAGTCATGATGCTGCATATAAACAACTGAACACTGAATGATCACATATTGCAATGGCCTTGACCTTAAGTGATCACGTGACAGGAAGTTAATGCAAGTAGTCTAAGATATTCAAGAACTGCTGTATACAAACTGAAAAAAAAAAGAAGTTATATCTGTAGTATAACTTTTTTTTGTATGTAAGATGTTTGTGAAGTTTAAGCTTTTTTTCGTATGGAATATGTTTGGTTGGTAATACCTGCTATGTGCTTAAGGGTAAGAATTGAAAGTGTTTTACACAAAAAAGTTGAACTGTGCATTTATGTAATTGATATGGGTATGCTTTGTTATACTTGGCTGGGTTTTATGGGTAACAAAAATATTGCAATATGTTTCTTTTGACTATTTACACAAACTGCAGAAGGGTATTTCTTGCAGACATGTAAAAATACAGGCATATATGGTAGTTATATGAGTAAATAAAGTATTACCCATACTTGGTTGTGATTGCTAAACTATATGTTATATATTAAATGACAAAGTGGCTGATCTCTTCTGCCACCCAGTGGCAGATTTTTCCATGACAAGCCACATCTCTTCACTGTTTCCTGCAGTCAGAAACAGGACATTATTTTTATTCTGTGTGTAGGCAGTGGTATATGTCAGTAGCTGTATGGCTGAGTAATGCAATATTCAGACTTGGGGTTGGTGAAAATTTATTTAAGTAAAATAAAGTAGCCCAGTTTTACCTGTATTTAGATGGATTGAAAAAGATATGGATTTGAAGCTAAGTTATGGGGAAGTATGCAACCTTAAATTTTCCCTGTAAATCAATAGCAAGTTAAGTTTTCAGTTTATGTTGAGTTCAAGTTTACTTTCAGCTTGGTGATTTGAGTTGTTGAAACTTCCTCCCCATTCCAGCATGTCCACAGTATTATAGAACATAACATGTGATTGGATTCTTATTGTAATACAAAGAACATTATTGGGTATATAATCCTTGATTTATAAATCTGATGTCAGTTTTACATAAGAATTTTAGCCTAAGAATTGGTCTGAAATTGAAAACTCAAATTTTAGTCTGCTGTTACCCAAGGTTTGAGTAACAGTCCAATGAAAGAAAACAGGATGCCTCATCTGTTCCTTGGCCCACTTCTGACAGTTCCTGAAAATTTCGTCAAAAAAATGGGTGCATAACTTTTTGAGTTATGTCGATGACAGACAAACAAACAAACAAACAAACAGGGGTGAAAACATAACCTCCTTGACGGAGGTAAATAGTTGTAGCTGTGTTTCAAGCCAATACGTCTTTCACTCAAGATGACAAATTTGGATCTAACCTGAACTAAAGTAAATTAGATATTTGTCTTAAAAGTATAGCTCAATTTGCAGGCTAAAGGCTTTTGTGGACTTCAGATGCTGAACTGAATTTTTCAAGTGGATATTATTTCAGTACAACAATACGCCACTGGAATGCTTTTATTTCAGACACAGGACAACACGTAACGATATGTTGATCCATTTGATCTTAAAAATGCAATATCTAGATGATTTTTACCTCATGTTTAAAATCTTCTAACGTGAGTCTTTATCATTTAGTTTATAAATATTTCACTGCACTGCTTAGAAGATATTTAAGGCCGCTTGATATTGCTTTTGTTATTGGAATGTTCAAAGTTGTACTGACTCTCACGAATTTCTCCACATATTGTGTATTGACATTAAGAACCTTTATAATAAGTTTAAGACTGATGGAGAAATATCAGTGGTTAAATGACGTTTAGAACCTTGTATGTACATTTAAGACTGATGGAAGCATCTGTGGTTTAATGACAGTTGCTGGCTTCTAATTATGGCGATTCCAAACTCTTGTATATAAAATATAACACCAATAAACGAGAAATATTTTGAAAGGTAATTTTTGTTATTATGTTTTGATGGAAAACTTTTGACGGGGAAAAGCATATAATAGCAACATTTGCAAGCAGATGAACAATAACGAGATACAACGAAATAACTTTTATTTTGGAGAAGATAATGCACTCTTGTTTGATTTGGATAATTTACACAAAAGAAAAATCCATATCAGGTGGGACAGACTGCAATAAATTTCATCTATCTGGTCCTTAAGATAATACGTATCACCAGGTGACTGTTAGGTAACGAGCGAGAACAACTGTACAGGCCGGACGTTTTATTGCCTGTACTGAATACACGCGCTTATTCAAACACTTAAAGCAGACGACTGAGAGATCATTTACGCTGTGCTAAGTTATCGCGCTCTCACAGGTCTCTCTGCAACACACTCTTGGTTGGTTCGGGTTTTATCATCACGGCAACGAGAGGATGTGAAATTGACATGCTTATCTGAAGATACTGCGTGGAATAAAGCGTTGAGGAAAAAAGAACGACGTGGGACTAACTGTCATATAAAATAACTTGATAACGTATCAGTGGCGTTGTTTTAATGATACATGATGGGAACCGAAGCCAATAAAGATTGTGATAACAAAGAAAAAGCAATCACTGCAGATGAACTCGAAGAAACCGTCACAACAAAGGAACAATTGACCAACTTTGCTAACGAAGTCAGCATTTTGGGTCTCAAACAAGCGGTCAACCCAAGCTACTCCTACATCAGACGTGCCATATGGTTCTGCTTCGTTTTGGTCGGATTTGGGTTCCTGATCCACCACCTTAAGAACCGATTTGACTACTATTTCTCAAATCCGACAACCGTGAGCATGAACGTGACCCAAAACGACACCCTGATTTTTCCTACCGTGACCGTATGCAACAGTGCCCCGTTCAAGGCCAGCAGTTTGGCGCGAAACAATGAGACAGAAATTGGCAACCTTTTTCACGTGGGGCACTCTGGCTCCCCGGACTGGTCTCTGTTCAATCTCAGCCGTACCAATTGGACTGATTTCTACGTAAGGAATGGCTTTCAAGTGGAAGACATGGTTGTGTTTGTAAGTTGATTGACTGACAACTTTTCATTTAAGTGGTAAAATCGATTTCCTTTATGGTTCCGGAGTAACGAGATGGACAGTCCTGTCATTTGAAAAACAGGCGGGCATGATGGTTCACCAACTGATACAAAATAGGGTTTAAGATTGTTATTTTATACTGATTAATACTTTTTGTCTTGCCTTTTAACTCCCAATCTAAATTGATCAGTTTGAATCAAACGAATAAAAAAATTTAAAAACTAAGGTAAGTATATCTAAATTGATTCAGGTGACTGAATTTTACGTAAGGCAACTGATAAAGAGTAGATTATAGAAGTTAAATTAAACAGTTAACTCTAATACTCAGGCTCAGGGTTATGCCGGACGAGATGGAAATGTCAATAATATACGACTTTAATAAGATTAAATGGTCTGACCTTTGCAGTGCTCTCAGAGATTTTCATTATCTAGATAGTTGTTTGCCACAGAATCGCCAAACAAAATGACCATATGAGGTTATAATACAGATGTAATACTAATACACGACTCCCTTATACATGTACTAAGAACTGCACTTACCCGTTAAAACGACCAAATAGCCATTAAGTTCCTGGGTCTTGGTTACTGTTACCGCCATCATAGTAGGTCTATTGTAAAGGCGAAGGCACGGTGTAACTTGATAAGTATCTGGTGCAAGTATCTCGCGAGACACTGAAATGTAAGGTAGTCACTGAATTTTTACTGTTGTTTGACTTTGCAACATGATGATCAAACTTGCTTATTTTCAGTGTCTGTGGAAGACGAAGGAATGCAAAAGCAACGCATTCAGGCCAGTCCTCACCGAGTTTGGGTTATGCCATCAGTTCGGAGGAGGTATATATATATATATTCAGGAGAGAAAATAATGATTATTTACTGGTCTTGTATTCTTATTAAAGACCCAAGGCCTTCAATTACTAAAAAAGTAAAAATAAAAACAGTGAAATAAAAATCCTAAAACGTAGTTAATAGGGTTTTGAAATTACTCAAGAGTTCACAGTGAGCAAGAAGTACAAATCTTAGAGGAGTTCACAGTTTTAAGTCAATTGCACCTAATATCGCGTGCATTCCGTCGAGTAATAAGTCCCTCATTAATTTCTCATCTTTTCATTATCATGTATCATCTTTTTCTTGTTGTTTATCATACAGACGGTGGTGATCTTCAGGTGGACATGGAAGGCTCCAGGTATGGGCTGGAACTCTTCCTCGACACCCAGCAGAGCCGGGAATATGAAGGGAACGTTTTGGACGCGGGCGCTTTGGTAACATGCCGTGGTTGATTCCTGACACATTTTCTTTGGTCTTGATTAATTTGAAATATTATATTATATTATATTATATTATATTATATTATATTATATTATATTATATTATAGGTCTATCTGTATATCTTAGGTATAATTATTCAATTCAGAATAGATAACGCCACGGAACCTTGAAATTTGAAATTTATTATGTTACTAAACATTTCAAAAGCTCATCGGATCCGCCATAGTTGTTACCATACAAACATGTAATTGTCTTGTAAATTCTAATCTTAAGAAACATCTTCACAAATAATTTTACTGTGACCTGTGGGACGTCATAAGGACAGAAAAATCATAAGGGGTATGTCAAAGTTGCAGAAGGGGGGCCATGGGTGTTGTTTTTCACTTCGGATATATCATAACTCAGGGGCGGATCAAGATATATTTTCTGACAGCCTTTCAAATAATCTTTGGTGATCCATTCTCTATTTTTGACCGTGTTCCGACAGAAAAAAATAGGATACCCATCAATGTAAACTTGAAAATCTGACCGTCTTCCAGAAGACCCAGAAGACAGCCTCAATCCGCCCCTGTAACTGGAACTATATTTCCAACATCTTATTTTCAGATACTCCTTCACGACATGGACGACCAACCTGACATGTTGAACTTTGCCATCCGTACAGTCCCTGGACAGAGTTCCCTCATTGTCCTCAAACTGAAGAAGGTAACGCTATGGGGGAGCTAGAATGTAAAAAGTTTATAGTAAAGAGTTTATAGCCTTAAATAATCGATGAACAAGATCCTCTGACTCTTCAAGTGATGCATTGTCTGCTCAATGTACAGTTATTACTCGATCTTTTGAATGGGATGAAAATTGTGAATTTTAGAGATAGGGGCCTAGTTTTTTTTAAAGTCATATTTTTTTAAAAAAATAATTATAGCATTGCTATGAAGTAGTAGCAACAAAAACTAAAAGCAGGCTACTCTACACTTCTATTCTTTGCAGTGAAAGCACCACAAATGCTATATAGAAATATAAGTTTTGTGTTTTACAAATTTATGCATCTGAAAATTTGATAATGTTTTGCCCGTTGAAATGATTGAGCCATTACCGTAGTCTCTGATTCGATGGAACAAGAAATGGCATTACA